AGAGGGGAATGTGATAAATAGGCCCGATGTATTCTATGTACCTTTCCCAGACCACATTTGGAATATTTCCATTTGGGACACTACATTTAAAGAAGAGCATTTTTAGCATCCAAATGAGCCTTTGATGAAGGGCTATTCATGCCTTAAAGGGATCAATGAAAGGAATTGGGGGTCATTTGGAGAAAACGTGGAGAGATATGATGGCTGACTTCAACTATTTGAGTGGTTGTCAGATGGAGGAATGGACTTGTTCTGCTTCACCCCAGAGGACAGAACTAGAAGCAATAGGTGAAAGTATCAGAGAGCCTGATTTAGGATCTCTAGGAAGGAAAAACTAGCAAACAATTATCTACCAAAAGTGGAAATAGGCTGCCTTGCCAAGTAGTGGGTCTGGTCACTATAGGTCATCAAAGAAAGGCTGGATGACCATGATTTGGTTAGAGAGTCTCCTTTGAATGACTTAAAATGTTTCTTTACTTGTCTGGTTTGTTGTAGAAGGGATTCTTATTAAGGTATATTTTGGACTAGATAGTCTAACCCAACTCTCAGATTCTGAATCTTGCTTTAGGCAAGTGTTAAAAATTGCATGCATAAAGGACAAACAAGGTTGAGGGAAGGGGTGATTATAAAAGGATACATCACATCGTCCCTTTAAATAGCAAATCCAAATAGGATATTTAAAATAGAGTTGGCATCATAGAATTTCATTTTAGATGTTTTCATCATGATGGAAGGAGCCCAGGTTTGCAAACCTGGTTCTGCTACTGACTCACCAAAGGAGCTTGAGCAAATTTCTTCCTCTTTCTGGATGTCAGTGACTACTGCAAAACAGAGGTTTGAATTAGAGGCTCTCTTAAGGGGAAGCCCCTTCCATCTCTGACTTTCTATAATTTTGTAAAAATCTCTTGCCTAAAGTAAGGCACATCCACATTGCATTAATCAGTCTTCTGTTGGATATGGTATGGAGTAGAGGGCTCAGATCAGGCCTTGTAGATGATTATAGGGGCATGGTTTGGGGGGCATTGAGGAGCTGGGAGTGAGCTGACTTGAGTTTTATACTTAATTCCTCTGATTTCATAATAAAGTCAATTATTTTAATAACAATAATAAGTAGTTATTTTTTTACCAGTGGTAATAATGATTTTAAAAAAATTTTAGTGGGTTTTCTGTTGTGCAAAAAATCAGCATGGCCCCAGTACTTTAACGTTTAAGAACCACTGTCCTAACATGTGCTAATACCTTTTGAGCTCCAGTGGCTTCCAAAGTGGGTTGTTCTTTGTCAGATTGACCCAATACACTGGAGTTGGTCATAAAATGTATTGTGCAGGCTGACTCAGTGGTTCTGAATCACACTTTTTTTCCTTTTATATGCTTGCCTGTAGAATGGGGTAATTCATTATCAGTGTGATTATTAAGCTTTTTGTATGCCTAGGGCTTGACTGTCCTTGCTTTGACTGGTCAGGTCCCTCCTCAGATAGGAAGGGGTTTGTGCCCAACAGGGTATAGACTTGGGAAATGGAGGGGGATGGGGAAGAGAGAGGAGAAGAAGTATAATCAAGGGCCAATAGAGAATAGGGGCCGAAAGGTGGGTATTAGAAGCTTGTCTACATATTGTTCCCCTAGAAATGGACCAAGATGATCCTGGAGAAGCCATGGCAGAACTACAGGAGCGCCACCTTGGGGGACTGGGTATCTTAGAAGTAGCAGCTGGCACTGGCTTATTTGCCTATACCTTCTGGGCAGGGTTCCTTATGCCTGGTTTCCGAAGAGTGCCCCTGAAGCTTCAGGTAAGTTGGCCTCGGTGGGGAGGAGGGGAAGATGATAATTGAAGAGCAGCTTCCAAATTTGTGCTCTTTCTGTCTTTTTTCCAGGTGCCATATGTCCCATCAAGTAGGCAGCAGGTAGAGAATGTTCTAAGTCTTCTCCGGGACCGCTCTGGCAAGATGGTGGACTTGGGCTCTGGTGATGGCAGGATTGTAAGAAGGCAAAAAAATCTCCCCTTTCGGCTCCTTCCCTTGTCTGTTCTTTCTGGTTAGGGCATAGAGTTCCTTTCAGACTATTCTACTCTCAGTTCATTTCAGCATATTCTGAAAACATTTATTGACCACCTGTTATTAGCAGAGTCCAGCACTGGGGGATATATAGAAATCAACAATTCATTACTATGCTTAAGGAGAGTCCAGTCTAGTGTTTTCAGGGGAAGTTATTAGAGAATAGGGATAAAATATACACATGGGTTAGCTAATACAAAATAATAATGAATGCATAAGAAAAGTACAAACAAAATGTAATGAGAGATTTGTAGAGACAGTGATCATTTCCAGTTTGTGAGAGAGGGACAGGTTCATGGAGGAGATGGCATTGGAATTGGGTCTTGAGGGACGGGTAGGATTTCAGTGGGCTGAGTCTCAGTCAGGGAGAAGAACATTCCAGGCAAAGGGAAGGGTATCAGCCAAAGCATGAAGTAGTCCAAACTCAGAGAATAATAAGTAGTCATTTGGAGCTAGAATGTAGAGGCCTTGAGTGCCAGGTTAAAGAATGGGGTTTCTTTTCTCATGTTCCATCTTGTAGGTCCCAGTCCCTTGCATCAGGTGAGAGGCTCTTCTGGATACCATTCCCTCTATGCTGCTTTTCCCCTATCCCTATATTTGTTCGAGTTCATGACACCTAGCTTTGCCTTGTCTAGCCAACACCTTCCCTGATCCTTGAGGGATATATATATATATGGAAGGGAGTGCTCATTGTTTGGTACTACAGGTTTTGGCAGCATACAGACAAGGATTGTATCCTGTCGTGGGTTATGAACTGAACCCCTGGCTTCTTCGGCTTTCCCGATTCTATGCATGGCGGGCTGGTTGTGCTCGAAAGGTTTCCTACCAGAAGGAGGATCTCTGGAAGGTAATTGCAACTCTGTACTCTTCTTTCTGTCTCCTTAGTTCAGGATTCCAGTTAGTTGGGATGGGCAACAGGGGGCACGTAAGTACTGATTGGCCCAGGAAACCAGCAAGCTCAAAGCTACAGTTATGAGGCCAGGGCCAGTGACTTACTTAGTGATTCTGGTTGTAGGAGGTAGTTATTTTATCCTTCTCCTCTTCCCACCCATCTTGAAGAGTTAAGAATTTTCAGACCTGAAAAGAATCCTAGAGACCATATGCTCAACCCCCACTCCCCTCATTTTATAGAGGAGGAAATGAGAACCCAGAGAGGGGAAATAACTTCTCTAAGATCACAGTGAATCAGTGGCAAGCTGGGACTTCGACCCAGGTCTCCCGACTCACAGTTTAATCCTCTTTCCATGACCTTATTTTATCTAGCACCTTTAGTCAGATCTGTGTTAGAGGAATAACATAGATTTCCAGGCCACTTGGAAATGAGCTCTGGACCTTTGGCCTTTTTGCTTTTTGAATTGACTAAATACAATCTAGTTTGGATGACTTTAAGATATTTCCTCACTTGCTAGTAAGATACTTCCTTAGGTTTTAGGGAAAGCAGAGCCAAGTAGATGTTTTCAAAGGCTAGAAACAGTCATTGGTTTAGCATAACTTTGGCCTTGGAATTGGAGGCCATCAACAGAGGAAGAAGAGCAAGGGAAGATGCCTTAGGCCAATAGCCTACTATCTCCTGGTTCCCCTGGAGTTAAGAAACCATCTTAATTGCTGGGAACATGAAATATACACATTTAGAGGTTTCTAGGCTCCCCAGGTAGAGCACAAAGGTTCCCTTTTCTAGGTGTTATAAAAGTAGAAGACCTCTGCAAAGCAGTCTCTGAGTCCCTTGTGGCTGTCATCTTGTCCTCATCTCTTCTAAGCAGACCTATCTCTTCTGCAGGTAAACCTGGCTGACTGCAAAAACATCACAGTCTTCTTGGCTCCCAGTGTGGTATGTCTGAGCACTTTCAGAGGCTCTAGGGCCATGGGATTTGTTGAACTAAAATATTCCCAGGGCTAGGGAATGATTCAAACTGAAGTAATTGTTGCATTGTGGGCCAGTGCCCCATCTGTTTGGCTTCAAAGCCATCTGCTTGTTTCTCTAGCAGTCCCCGTGAAAAATCAGCAGGCTGTTCCCAAATGGGCTGGCATTGGATGTTGCTAGGAACCCCAAAGACATCTCAATGTCTGTGAGATGGAATGGGAACACTTTGGAGGAAAGTGTAGCAACCAGATTTAAAGATCCTTTGGAAGACCTTGTTTGACCCTAGGGTGGCAGACCAGCCACAAAGTTACTAGCTTTGAACTTTAGCCTGCTGAAACCAAATCAACTTTTTCCTAGCTCCTATGACCCTGTGCTTCAAACCAGCCTATCCTTATTACCAGGTCTTCTCACTACCCCCTCACTCCCCGCCTCCCCTTCCTCCATCCCCAAATCCCCTTTACAGGTTACTTCTCTTCTGACTTGGCCTTTTTCCACAGCTCCCTCTCCTGGAAACCAAATTACTAGCGGAATTGCCCAACGAGGCCCGAGTGGTATCTGGTCGATTCCCCCTTCCCAATTGGGAGCCAATAGCCACAGTTGGTGAGGGTCTGGACAAGGTTTGGGCTTATGATATTGGACTCATCCGGCAAAACATGGAGATGAGGGAAACTACCTTTCTACAGGGAACACCTGTCTAGGTTTTTGGGAAATAGAGCTCCCTTCATGAGAGGGGCACTCTACCTTACGTGTAAGGGTACCTTAGCAGCTTTTGTCTGAACCAAGGATTTCACCTCCCTTAACCACAGAGAAGCAGGATGTGCTCCAAGCTAGAGCTGATCCTAGTCACTGTACTTCAGGCTCAAATAATTATGAGGAGCCAACATTGAGGGAAGTCCAGTACTACTTCTGAAGAGTTTCACTGGCAACTTGAGGTCAAGAACTGAAACTTGTTTCCTATGGTTCACAGTTGAACACAATAAAAGTTTTTTCATTTTGATATTCTTTTGACTGCCACTGGAACTTAGGATCCCCTCCCCACAACTACTTTACTTTTTTCCCCCTGTGGTTTTTTCTAAACTCCAGGTTGTTTCATTTTCTCTGATATCTTTTCCCCTCAAAGACACCAAATTAGGTAGCCCAGTCATACCTTAACGTGGGTGGGCGTCAGGGCACAGAGAACTCAGAGCACTCCAGGGTACGAGGCCCCAAAGTTTGGAGTCTTGTTCCAGGTTGCTCCTGGTGTGGCAGTGATGGCCTAGTTCAAGGTCCAGCACCACTGTAGAAAGGCATAAGGCATTAACAGTAATGGTAGGCACAGAATTCTGAGAAAATTGGACTCCTCCCATCTGCAGATTTAGAGTACATTCCCATCCCTAATGCTCCAGAAATCCATGTGGAGCTCCCTGCCCATAGGCTTTTAGGGCCAGTTCCTCCAGCTGTTTCTTGGGAGTAGGCGGAGCAGGCACAGCTAGTGGTTGGTGGTGCTTTGGCTCTGGGGATTTAAGGAAACTGGCTCTGCCTATGAGGACTCATTCCCCAGGAGCTTCCTCAGCCTCAAGATCTCCTGCTTGTACCTGTAGAGAGGGTTGGGGAAGACAGTTTTGCTCTAGGTCAGGTCTCTATCCCTTTGAACCCCTCCTGGGAGCTCTGAGCCTTCACTCAAGGGGTCATTTTCCCTCAGTGATTGACTAGGCCTCTGAACATTGCCAGCTTTGACCACTCACATTTTCCTTATGTTGCTGCTGGGATTAGCATCTATTCCAGTGGCATCATCCTAGTTCTTAGGTGACTTTAAATTTCTAGGTAACAATATCCCCACCCCCAGGATACTCTTCTCTACTTGCTTCTGCCAAGAGAGGCAGGGAAGGATAATGGGGAGAGAACATACAATCCCCAGGAGGTCTGGGTCCTGGTTTTGATAGGGCTAGCACTAGGCTATTGGTTGCCTGGTATTTTGAAAAGGAAGGTTATTACTCTGTACTCCTTTTGTGGAAGATGGGGGGACAGAAGGGCTGTTGAGTGTAGTGAATAACCTGAGATAAGGGTCCCAGAGTAACAGCTACATTCTTGTGCCTCATCAAGTGAAATGATGAAGGTGGCTTTTGGGAGGTGAGATGATAAAAGTCTGAGGGTTCTTAAGGGGTCAGATGGGGAGAGTGGCCCTGCCATCCCAGCAGAGCCATACTGCCATAGTGCTGGGCTCCCCTGGGCAGCTCCACCTTGGCTCACCTGCCTAGGTGTTTATCCACATACTCTTGCAGTTGTGAGAGTTGTTCTTCTGCCACCAAGGCCCGGCTCCACAAATGGCTTCTCTCCTTCTCTAGCTTACTCTGAGTGTGACAAGGAGAGAAAACAGACTCACAGAAGCTCAGTGATGGAAAGGATCTCAAAGGTCCTCTAGTGCAAATTCTATCTAAAGCAAGATGCCCTTCTACAACATGCCTGACAATTGACCATTCAGCTTAGTTTGAACACTTGTTGTGATGGGAAACTCACTGCCTAAAGAGGTAGCCCATTCCATATTTTTAATAGTTATAGTTGTTAGGTCCTGTTTCTTACATTCACCAGCTAGTTCTAGTTCCTCCCTGTGGGATCAAGGAAAACAAGCTTAATCTCTCTTGCACATGGTAGTCTTTCAGATATTAGAAGCCAGTGGTAATGTCCCCTGCCATTTTCTCATTTCCAGGCTAATTGTTTACAGTAACTTCAACTGATCTTTGTCTGTTATGATTGCAAAATAAAGTTGATTGCAGGGCATTTTGCACATATTGCATCATTTGATGCAACAATTTTGTGAGGTAGGTACTACTGTCCCCATTTTACAGATGAGGAAACAGGTTGGGAAAAGTTAAATGTCTTTCCAGGGTCACATAACTAGTAAGTGTCTAAGCCAGAACTCAGACCACAGGTCTTCCTAACTTCAAGCTGAGCACTCATTCCCCTACTCTAACCTGCTTCTTCTAGTCTTCATATTGAAAATATTTTATACACTGGCTGTAGCTTATCTTTCCAGTCTTATTTCATGTTAACTTCCTTTCATGTACCTCTATTCCTGCCAAATTAAACTACCTTCTATTTTCTAAATTTTTTTTTGCTTAGGCAGTTGGGGTTAAATCACTTGCCCAGGGTCACACAGCTAGTAAGTTTCAAGTGTCTGAGACTGGATTTGAACTTAGGTCCTCCTGATTCCAAGGCCGGAGATCTACCTAGCTGCCCCTTCTGTTCCCTATTCTTGCCCTGCCCTCTGCCATTTCCATGCTTTATAAACAATCCCACTAATCAAAATTCTCTCTCCACCCTCAACATTTCTCATAGGACTTAGTCTAGACCTCTCCTTTGTGATAAAAGGGAGAGTGAACTATTGGTACACATGTCTTTTCCTCCTCTTGCCCGCCCCTTCCCCCCCCCCTTTTCTTCTCTCCCCATCCCCCAACCCAAGCTATTAGCTTCAAACACCTTGAGAACAGGAACTCTGGGGTTGGCACAGATTAGATAACACAGGCTTATTGAGTGGGTTTGGACCTCTCCCACACCATCCTCTTTGTGCTGTGGGCATAATCCAGCTAATCAGTGGTGCTTTTACAATGTGGCTATTGCTAATAGCTAATGCTGTTGGTGGGTAGCTAGGTGGCTCAGTAGATAGAGCCCTGGGCCTGGACTCTGGAAGACCTGGATTCAAATGTGACCTCACACACTAACTGTATGAACCCTAGGCAAATCATTTAACCTCTCTTTGCCTTAATCCACAGGGAAGGGAAATGGCAAACTACTTAATATTTGCAAGAAAACCCTCTGGATGGATAGGGGTCATGGAGAGTTGGACGTGACTGATGAAACAACAGCAACAGTGCTATTGCTATTGCTAGGGTCTTATTTAGCAGGGAAGCGCACTGTCACCTTCAGACTGTTACTTTCCCTGCTGATTCAAGTAATGACCTCCCCAAAACAGAATGACTCGTTAGAGTTAGCAGGGGCAGCAGCTTCTTCCCTTGCTCCGCCCTCTGCCCAGCCAAACTTGGCTCATCCCTTTCTTAGCAAATGATCTTGGCTGGGTTATGAATGCTAAATTACTTAGAATTAAATGTGATGATTGGGAATGGATCTCCCAAATCCCAACTATAATCAGAGTGTTTACATGTCTGAAAGGCCCTTAGGGGGAAGAGGGATTGGCTTGTTCAGCTTCATTGGGCAAAACTGGAATCAATAGAGGGAAGTTGGAGACAGGTTTAGCTCAATATAAGAAAGAACTTTGATTAAAAAAAAAACCAAACAAAAAACAAAACTGCTCAGCAATGGACTGACACCTTATGGGCTCCTCTTCATTGGAGGTGCTCAAGCAGAGGCAATATGGTTGCCTATTCCTGCTTTAAGTGGGAAGAAAGCTAGATGGCCTCATGGTAAGATTTTACGAAACTGTCATTTAGCTCTAGTCAGAACAGAACTAAAGAAATAAGTGTCGATCTTGGGACAATAGAGAACTATTTCTAGATCATACTCATCATCTGTACTGGAGGTCAATTATAGCCTTAGCATATCTCCCTGACAGAGGGTGGTGTCCCAGGTTACAGTGAGACTTGTGTCCAAGGATCTGACATGGGAACCCTAGCTTTTCTGTCATTTCTCAAGAGGAGGAAGCATCTTTGATCTGAATTTCTAACTCCTTCACCCCTTGGACTGGCTCCTTGATGGTGGATGGTGAGTAGAGGAGGATTAGAAGATTGTTAGGCTAAGGAAATAACTGGATCAGCCCTGGAGTCTTCTTTCTGAAACATCTACTACCTGAGTGTTTTGGGTGAACTCTTGAAGCTGCTTCTGGATCTTGGCCCAGACCACTTCATCCCTAGGAGAGAAGAAAAGAGCTTGTGGGGAATGCAAGAAGGTCTCTGATCTCACAAGACAGGCAATGGGACTCACCACTCATTTGGAGATTATCCTCTGGCTTCAATTGGTCCCACTCCCTACTCATTGCCCCTTGCTTTGGAAAGTTTGTTATATAATAGATCTCTGCTGTGGTGGAGCAAGAACTTGGCACCCTTGGGCCTCCTTTGATCTGACCACTTTCCTCATGGTACTGTGGAAAGTCTCACCTCTGCCACTTATAGGCTCCAAGCTTAACCACAGCTTCCTTATCTGTAAAATGGGAACAACAATACATAACCTAACTCACAGGGTTGTCGTGAAGATCACATGAGGAAATGTGAAGTGCTTTGTGCTATCAGGATGTCAGCTATGAGTATTGTAATCCTCCTTCTGAAGTTACGTGTTAAGTGATAAGAATGACTTGTATGAAAAGAATGATCAAGGTATTGCTATAACATCATGGAGAATACAGGGTTATTATAGATTGTAGCCAGCATGTAATAATGGAAACAGAGGATTCAGAACATGATAGGTGACCATGCTCTATCTTCTGCCTTGTTCAGACCATATCTAGAGTAGTGTGTCTGGTCTTGAATGCCATATTTGACAAAAGAGTGAGAAGAATGCAGGAGGTAGAGAACTGGATTTGAATCTTGCCTCCAACATTTAGCCAGCTGTATGACCATGATGAATCTCTAAGCCCTTCTTCCTCATCTGCAAGATGAAGATACGACTTGCTTTGCCTGCCTCATAGGATTGTTGTGGAGAAAGTGCTTTGTCAACCTAAAAAGTGCTACGTGAAATACAGTGTAATTCTATAGTTATGGAAATATAGTATCAAATGTAACTTTTTTCCCTTTGTTGGTGAAGCAGTTGGGGTTAAGTGACTTGCCCAGGGTCACACAGCTGGTGTCAAGTATCTGAGGTCACATTTGAACTCAGGTCCTCCTGACTCCAAGGCTGGTGCTCTATCCACTATGCCACCTAGCTGCCCCCAAATGTAACATTTGTTACAGGAAACTCATAGGAAGGCATATTTTAGCTTAATCATAGTATTACGAAGAATTTCCTAGAAATTTCAGCTGTCCCACAAAGGAATGGACTTCACTGAAAGGTAATGAATTCATAGTCACTGGAGATATTTAAACTGGAAATTGAATGACTTCTTGTCAGGGATATTATAGGAAAGAGATCCAAGCTTCGAGAACAATTGGATAAGATTACATTTGAGGGCCCTTCCTTTCAAAGTCTGTTTTCTAGGCCTCCAAGGTCTCGTTGCTACCGCACAGATGCTCTCTGGTGGTCAGTGGAATTCCTGCAGGGAGCTGGGCTCACTTGAGAAAACCCCTGCCTTTGACTTCAGGCAGTAACATGCCCACCCTAACCTCCTGGTGTATAATTAGTTGATTCCCATCCACACAGCATCAAGGACAAGATGTGCACACAGAAAGTATTCAATATATACTTGTTAAATGAGTAAATAAGTGGTTATGCACCTATTAGCTCATTTGGGCCCCTAAATGAGCAGGGATGGGACAAATACTATTTCCACTTGATAGATGAAGAATTTCAAGTTCAAAAAATTGTCATGACCCATCAAACATCAAATAGTTGTGCTGTAGCTGCCCCAGGATTAGAATGCAGGTTGCCTGACTGAGCCCAGTGCTTTCTGGGTCTGCCTGGGGTCCTCCTAGGTGGGGCACAGTTAGGGAGAGGAGGTGAAGTCTATGAGGAATGAGGTCAGGAGGAGGAAGGTCTATCCCACATATCTCTTGCCCCATTCCCTGACTTGTCCCATCCACTTCTTATTGCCTCTTTTCCCCTCTTCATGGTCAGCACTTAACTCGGGCTGTTAGCCCGAGATAAAGGTACAGTTATCACTCCTACTCATCTCTACCACAGATCCTGTGTTGGGCTGTAGAGCATGTCTGGTCCCAGACATATTAGGGACACTCACTGTGGCAAAGATGCCCCCAAATCAGTGGCTTTGATGGATCCATTCTGTGGGAAACAAAAAAAGTCACAAACAATTCTAGTACCTCTTTTCTTTCCCTATTCCCTTTCTCGGGTCCTTGACTCATTCAATCCTGTATGACATCTTTGACATTGACATTTTGTGGAATAGCCCTTGGAGATAGCCTCAGAAAACTAGGAACGTATTCCAAAGGTATTTGATTACCTTTCAATTAACTCATAGCACAGCGGAATGAGGTCTGGATTTGGTGTCTAGGTTTGGTTCCTGGCTTGGCCTCTTGCTACCTTTGTGACCTTGGGTGTGATGCTCCCTGCAACTCAGTTTCATTATATGTAAAATGAAAGGTTTGGATTAGACAGCTCCTTGGGTCCCTTCCAACTATAAATCTATAATCTATGAAGATGAGCCCTTTCCTGGGGGCACAAGGTCAAGAAGAAGGAAAACCTTTCCATTTTGCTTTTGTGTTGGGCAAGGAGGATGAAACTACAGGCTAAAATAGACTATTTGGATTGTCCAGGCTTTTGCTATGTCCCACGTATCATAGGATGTCAGGGTTGGAAGGAATCTTATGGTTCATCTAGTCTCACCAATACCTCAAGCAGGAATTTCTCCTAGAATATTTCCCAACAAATGGTTATTATCTAACTTCTGCTTGAACAGCGATGGGAAACTCACTATCTCAGTAGTCCGTCTTTGTCTGGATAGTTTTACTGGCTAATTTTTCCTTTCATGAAGTCAAAATCTTCCTTTCAGTAACTTCTATCCTTTGTTCCGTCTCTGACATTCTATGATTTTCTGAATTGGCTGAATAGAATTGTGTGGGACACCCAGAAACATTGGTTTGTATTTGATGCCTTGTGTAACTGTGAGTAAATAAATTCTACAGCCTTTTTGAGGTGTCATGTGGCTTCAGTTGAGATCAAGGTGGTTTAGAGCTTTACCTTGGCCTGCAGTTCCTGAATTTGAGTCTCCAATTGAGCCTTGTCTTCACGAAGCTTGTTGAGCTCCTGGGTTAGGTTGGACTGAAGATCAACCTTGTTGATGGTGAAGTGGACTTCCGGAGGACCAGGTTCCATGTTGGGACCACCCCGGACCTTAATCTGCTCCCTGTGGACCCTAAGCCAGGCTTACCCTGTCACCCATTTCTTTGATGGTTGCCCACAGAACCCCAGAAGGATCTAGATGTGGCCCTGTTCAGACTTGGTAGTTACCCAACTCCAGCTTGTCCCAGTAAGCTCTCTGTACAGTTTCCTCCTGATGAAGGCTATATTTGCAAGGAGGTCCCCACCCTTCATGCTTTACCCCAACAAAAGGACTAAAATGGACATGCTCAGATTTTTCTTTCTTGAGAGGAAAAAAACGGTTGAGGCTTTTGACTTTGTACTCTTTACCCTGTGGAAGAAGCATTAGGGAAGAAAGCTGGGAGAGGGTTGGCCTGGTGGAGCTCTGGGCCCATTTAGGGGAAGGTGTTGGAAGACTGTACCTGTAGGCATTGAGCAGGATCTCGTGACTTTTCATCAGGCTCTCCATCCTCTTCTTATAGTTCCGGGCAACCTTGGCTAGTTGTTGTTCTCGGCTTCGGTTTGAGGCTTGCATGTCATTTAGCATTCCATCCAAGAGTTTCTTCATTGCTCCTGGCTCTGCAGCATCTGTCTGATGAGGCCCTTGGTGGCCCTGGGTAGTGCTGTCCATGTAAGACTATCCATGTCCCCAGAAAAATGGAAACCATGACTAATTGGACAAGCCATGGAAGCCCAAGGGGCAGTAGGTAATGTTGCTGAACTGGACCAATGGTAGAACAAGACTTCTTCCAAGGGCTTGTGAGACTGCCTTAGGGAGGGCTCTCCTAAGAGCAGTTCTCATTAAGAAAAATCATCGTGACGGCATGGTCAGAACTCACCTGTAATACTCTTGGAACCCACTGCCAACCTACTTGGACTTACCGTGAACTCTGCTAGAAATTCTCTAAAACCCAGCCTCAAACCACCCCCAAATGTTCCATGATTGCAAGAATTATCCCAGTACTTCATACTGGATAATCCATTATCCAGTCATCAGGATTCTTATAGACTGGGTCAACCTGGACCACAATTGACTCAGATAAGCCCTGACATGGATCTGTCTCCCTTAATCCCTCCCTACCCAATCCTCATGAAAAAATGGCCTTGTCCACTTCCCCCGGACCCCATTCAGTCTCCTGCCTATCTCACTGTCCTTGTAGGTTCTTACAGCCATCTTCTTCACATAGTGCAGAAGCCTGGTGCGATACTCTTCATTCATCATCTTCAGCTGTTGCTGCAGTCTAGAATTCTCCTTTTCTACTTCTTGAAGTTGCTTCTGGGAAGCAGACAGTGCCTGGAGGAAGTAGAGAAGGACACATTAGGAGGCAGGGGCTTGAGGGTAACATGGTACTTGCCAAGGTCCTCCTTCCTAACCTCTACATGGCTTCCTGGGCCATAGCTCAAACTAGTTTGCATATTTTAAAATATATATGTGTGTGTGTGTGAGTGTGTATATGTATATATATATAACATATATATAAATATATATCATATATATTATATACATATATACACATGTGTATATATATGTGTGTGTGTACATATTTATATATATACATATATATGTGTGTGTGTGTGTGTGTGTGTGTATATATATATATATATATTTTTTTTTTTTTCAGTTCCAAATGTTCTCTGATCCATCCTGTGAAGTGTCACTAGGAAAAAAGTAATTGCTGGCTCACCATAGCCTGTTCATCCATCTTGTGCTGTGTGCCACGGATCTCCTGTTTGGCATCCTGGAGTTCTTTTCTTAGCACTGCCCTGAAGACAGGGTGGGCAAACATGAGTCATGGCAGGGTTAGTGATTGCCATAAACTAGCAATCCTGCTCTTCAGCTCTGACAAACACAATCCATGGGACCAGACATAATCATCCCTAAAGTCTTTCCAATCTAGAGTCTAATGGGGGGTGGGGTGGGGTGTGTGTGTGTGTGTGTGTGTGTTTGTAGGACTGAGAGACACTTTGGGGGAAACTCTTTATTTCTCTGGTGCCTAAACATGAGATCTTTCTATACCTAGGTATGCCTCAGGATGTCTGTCCTTTTTTCTTCCTCTCCACCAATGGCCCTGCTTCAGCAGTCAAGGATGAGGTGGTCAGAGGGTGGAATCATGGTTGGTTAGATGGCTGGGTGGCCCAGCTCATGCTCTCTTCTCTGGCTTCATCCTCTGAGAAGGGAGCAAGAGCCTGAAGGATCTCCTCATCACTTTGACCTTCTAGTGCTTAGGCTGATGAGAGAGGCAGAACTTAGCAGCTGGACCTTGCCTCGGACCCTTGACTTGGCCCTGGGGGATTGCATCAGGCCCCCCAAGGAGCCAATGGTAGTACACTGCCAAGATGGAAATGATTCTGGTCTCATGGATCTATGGGTAGGGATCTGTCTCCCACCTTACCCTTCTATAGCTGGTTGATATTTTGGACCTATACAGTCTCTTGGGGGGTATGTGTGGATGTAACGAAAGGTTGTGTGGTGGTGGTATGAGAAGAATCTGTAATGAGAATAAGAAACCATGGGTTCTAGCCCCAGTTCTAGAACTAACTCAATGAGAAGTTTTATATAAATTATTTTCCCTCTGGATCTCACTCCAAGGTCCCTTTTCTAGTTTGGGTATTGAATATTTTAAGGTTCTTTCCAGTTCTAACAATCTATGTGCTGTGATTCTAAGTTCTTTAAAAAGTGTACTGCTCTGCAGATGAAATAGAACAATTTTTGATTTCCTTTCAAAATAATCTCTTTCATACTGGAACCCAAAGGCTACCCCCCCTTGCTGGTCTGACCACTTACACTCTCTCCTCCAGCTTCTCCTGATGAATCTTCTGCAGTAGCTTCATCTTTTCCATCTCATCCTGAAGGTACTCTTGGCTAGCCAGCAACTATGGCCATCCCCAGAAAGAGAGATACAGGTGGTAAAGACTGTAGTGAGACAATTCTTGTTCTCAGTCATTGGCCACTGCTTTGCTTCTAGTTACATACTCCTTTATACGTGATGGCATACTCAAAGTTGGCATAAACTGGCTTGTTGGAAGCTGTTGTATATATCAGCCTCAGGTTGTATATTAGAAGTGGGCATCTTTTAAGGCCTTACTTGGCATACTGTAGGTCACATGCCCAGACCTATGTTCTTCTAGTCCAGTTTTCAGAGCCCTGAAAACTCTGGTCCAGAGACTACTGAGATATTCTGAGGGCAGTGTTTGGGAGCACAGTGCTGCTAGGGACTCAGGGACCCACCCAAGCATTAGATAATGCTCTCCCAAACTCACCTCTCTTCTGGGACATGCTCCTGGAGAAACCCTACCCATTTGATCTACTGATCACTCCCTTGTTCCCCAAATATAGAGTGTTTCGAACTCATGAAAACATTCTTGATCATCTTGACTACACTGTGATCTTCCTTGGGGACAGGGACACCATATTTGCTAGTATGATGAATGCAGAAAGTATTCTCCCAAAGGCCCAGCTCAACTTGATCATAAGGACATGGAAGTGGGAAGGATTTTGTGTTAAAAAAAATTAGTAAGTTAAGTTACATTTCTCTCCCTTCTCACTATCCCAGTCATGTGAGTATTTTGTACATTTGAAATTTGACTGTGTCTTTGTGATCAGGGAAGCTCAGATTCTTTCCTTGTTTTCCCCAAAGGGAAATGGAGGGGAACTTGGGCTTCATACACTTACCTTCTTCTCCATTTTCTTCTGCTCCTGTTCAGAGGCAATGACGTCTTCTGTCTGAGGGTAGTGGGAAAAGCAAGTGAAAGATGTCTAGCTCTGTTGGAACAGCTGCTTCCATGGTCTTAATTATTAAGCTGTGTCCTTGTCCTCCTAAACATCTGTTCAAAATGCTCCTCCTTCAGGAAGTTATCCCAGATTAAATTCTAGTCCGCTGCCTTACTCTATATGCTCTTTCAGGAAACTTACGCTCATTTGCCCAGATATGTTGCCTATCAAATGTTATAATACAATTTCCTCTCCCTGCAACCCTCCAAACAAATAGCTACTTCAGTGAGGGTCGGGGCAGTGACTTTTAGAAGTGCTAGGTGATGCAATGAAGACTTGAGTTCAAATTCTACTCCAAGAAATTTACTAGCTGTGTCACACTGGACAAAACATTTAGCCACTCTGAGCCTCAGTTTTCTCATCTGAAATTGGGGATAATAGTAGCCCATATTTTCACAAGGTTGTTGTGAGGATCAACTGAGACAGTACATGTAAAGCACTTTGCAAACCTTAAGGCACTGTGTAAATTCTAGTTCCTGTTATTAGTGTCCTCCCCGCCCCCCTCCCCTGCCCCAATTCCTAGCATTCTTGGTTTAGGAATCTGTCTTCAATGGAAACTCTCATTTAGTGGTGCTGGCTGAGGGATCTCTTGGGATAGCCCACCTTGAGTTTCTGGTGAGTGAGCCCTTGTGCCAAAGATCTCTCTGGCTTGGCAGCTGTCCTGTCAGCTACCCCAGGCTCTGAAGGTTGGGAAGAAGATGATGGTTCTGGCTGGGCTGGAAAAGAGTGTTTTTTCTTAGATGTGGCGAACAGCTCTAAGTTCAGCTCCTTCCTCTGGAGCACCTGCAGGACACCAAGGGGAAGAAAGGCCTGTATTGTACCCCAACTCTTGGTCCTCCATTTGTGCTCAGCACTCACAACAGTGTTCCTCCCTGCCTTATCCTGGGGCCAAGGATAGGTCTTTATTCTTTGGGTCTCAGCTTCACCTAGGCTGCTGGAGCAGGATGAGCCCTTTTACCAGGAAAGGTTTTGAGGTACTCAAAATGAATACCATCTTTGCCAGTATGATGAATGCAGAAGATATTCTACCAAAGGCCCAGGCCAACTTGATTGTAACTTTTTGGGAAAGGACATGGAGGTGGGAAGGATATTGTGTTTAAAAAAATGAGTAAGTTAAGTTACATTTCTCTCCCTTCTCACTATCCCAGTCATGTGAGTGTTTTACATATTTGAAATTAGGTGATTTGCATCTTTGTGATCAGGGAAGCTCATATTATAGAATGTTAGAGCTGAGAGAATCCTTAAAGACTCAGTCCATCCTCTCAGTTTGCAGAAGAGGAAAATGAGACTCAGAGATGGGAAGTGATCTAGTCTAGGTTACATAGAAATTAAATAGAGTAAGGACTAGAACTCAGGTGTCTAGATTTCTTCCTCTCATCTCAGGCAGTTAGGTGGCAGAATATGTAAGAGTCAGGAAGACCTGAATTAGAAACCTGGCTCAGACATTATATAACATATAATTTAAACTCTCTCTTAGCATCAGTTTTCTAATCTGTAAAATGGAGATATTAGCAACCTACTTCACAGAGTTAGGAAGCTAATGAGATAACATGTGTAAAACACTTTGTAAGCCTTAAAGCAAGATATAAAGACATTTAAAGACATAAAGACACATAAAGATATAAAGATATATTGTTATTACTCATTGTTATTATTCCAGATGTGGCCCAGAAGAGATGGAACTGAGGTGGGTAGAGAAGCTAAGAGCAGTGTGCCTGGGGTGAATTCCTCAGGACTAAGGGAGCTTATTCCTAGAAGGGACCCTGTCAAGTGGGTCATTTCCTAGGAGTAGAGATAGGGAAGAAACAACCATTACCTGAGCCTCTCTGCTGCACAGCCTACTCTGGCTCTTTGGGGACAGGACAGGACAGCTCAGAGGAGGCTGAATTCATGGGGCAGACCCAAAATGAATTAGGTGTCTAAGGGCTGGGTAGAAACCCAAGGAGGAAGCCCAGGATTCCCATCTCACTTCTTATACCCTTACCTCATGTTCATGTTGCTTGGCCAGGGTCTGGTAGTCGTTCTCAAGGCTGATGTAAGCATCTGACAGCTCCTGACGCTTGCCTTCCAGTATCTTCAGCTGCTCTGCCAGCCCTGCCTGCTCATGACCAGCTTTCTCCCCAGTCAGTTCCAGCTCTAGGACTCTGCTCTCCAGCGTTAGAATCTGTGGAGGAGCAGGGCCACAATGAAAGGGCAGAATGGCCCTATTCTTCCCCTCTCTTCATCTATAACCCCATCCTATCCTTCTCCCCATCCAAGGTTCCAAGGTCACCCAGCAGGGTGACTGGTAGGTTCTAGGACTGGTAACAGTTCCATGGAAGAAGCTCTAGGATGGGAGTTAGGAGAGCTGGGTTTTACTTCTTATTCTATGCAATCTTGGACATATTAGGCAAACTCATATTCATTTTCTCATCTGTAAAATGGGGACAACATTAATTGCAAAAGGTTATCTCGGTGGGGATGAGGATTAGGATAGTGCTAATTAGGCTTTCCCCTGCTTGCCATTTTACCAACTAGGGACTCTGTGTCAGGTCCTTGTTTCTAGTCCAAGAGAAGGATGGGGAAGAAGGTATCACGAAGACACAAATACACACAAATATGCATAGACACAGGCACCTCACACTTCAGCTCAAAGCTCTCAGTCTCATATTGCTCCCTTAAGCGATTGGTTTCAATTTGGAGGTCGATGAGTGCCTTATGAATCTGGTGGGAAGGAGGTGAAGAAGGTGGGTCATAAGGCTACTCGAGTCCTGAGTTTCTTGGGGGAAAGATTATTTGTGTGGCTTCCTGTACTTTGTGGGAAATGGGGAGCCCTGCGTGCCCAGTTATGTGCTGCACACTGTTACAGAAACAAACAAGGAACAGACCTAGGCTCACTGTCCTCGGGGAGCTCATATTCTGGGGACCTAGACCCCTGACCTTGGAGAGCTCACCCACAGCTTAGAGGAGGAGACAAAACTCACACATGAACATATATGCTGTGAGTGTATGGCATATGTCAAATGAGGGTTATATACAGCAAGAAAATTAGGAGTTCAGAGGAGGACTTATGGAATGGTCAGGGCCTGAAAGAATGGGTCAGGCTGAGTAGAGAAGAGGGCAGGCATTTCAGTTAAAGGAAATGATGTGAGCAAAGCAGTGAGATGGGGATATGCATATTCAAAGACATTGAGGAGACAGGCTGTAGCAAAAGGTGTGTGTGAGGGAGGAGGGGGAGATAAGGCAGGCTAAAGAGGGCCTTGAATGGCCAAACAAGGGGCCTGAACTTTTTCCTGTTGGGGTCTTGTGATGGAGGATGAGCTCCCATGGGTACCCAGCTTTGCTTAGTACTCTTGTATTGGGCCCTCCCTGACCCCTGCAAGGATCACCTGTAGCTTCTGTTCCTCACTCAGCACCAGCTGGGGGGAGGGGTTAGTCTTGGAGTTGGTCATCTGCATTGTGGTGTCGTGGAGCTCCCCTAGCCTTCCTGGCAGCTGATGGATCCGTTACAGCAGCTGGACCTACGCCAGCAGGGAGAAGGGGGAATCGGGTGCACTAATCTTAGAGAGTCTCTTTCTTCCCTCCCTCCACCTACACCCTTCTCTACCACCTTCTGACCGACCAGACAGGGGAGACTGTTTTTCAGTCCACTTCTTCAGTCAGAACAGAAGTGTCAGATACAGAACTAGATTAAAATGCAATCGGGAGATATTTAACAAAATAAGTACTAGTACAAGAAAACAGATAATATTATTATTACATTGTAAAACTAAGTCAATATGTGGCCCACAGGGATCCTTATGTATGGTTTAGGGGCCTCCCCTTACCATATGTATTTAACACATGTGGTCTTAGAGAGGAAAAAACCCTGCCCTGGAAATTAGGTACTGTAGTTAGTCCCAGCTGTGCCACTAACTAGCTGTGGGACCCTGGGCGAGTCCCTTCCCTTCACTGGACCTATTTTCTTCTTTGAAAAAAGAGATTGAACAAGATGGTTTCTAAGGTACCTTCCAATGCTGACCTCTGATGTCCTATAATTCTAGAGACAAAAGGAGAGAGCTAGGGTGTTATTCATTTGTATCATCTCTGGTTCCCTTGAGTCTTTCATTCCTTTCCCCAGCACCCCACCCCACTCTCTTCCAATCCCCTTCATCCCAAGGACATTAGATGCTGGAATTCAGTAAATGCGAATGAACATCCTCCAGCCCACCATTATAGGTGCAGGAGAAAGATCTGGAGAACTGAAAAACATGGATCATCCCCAAACCTTAGTTTAGCCATAGCAGCACTCTCTCCTCAACCTTTCCTTAGAGCTGGTCATACAGGAGCTGAATAGGTAACTTCTTTTCTCCTGGCCTTCCTCAAACCACCCCATGGAGAGGCCACAGGGCAGGGATTCCTGTGGAACAAAGGGCCTGCAGGAATGGGTCATACCCAGGCTGGAAAATCAGATTTTCCCCAAACCTCTTCCCCACACTTTCTGAGTCTGTCTATACAATCTCAGTTCTGATGACTTTATGCCCCTCTCCCTCTACCAACCATCTAGTCAGATGATGATGGACACACAATTCTACTTTGCAACCCTATCCCTCAATGTCTCTAGGCTTCTGATTCAGAATCACAAAGTATTAGAACTGGAAGGGATCTTAGATCCTCCCTCATTTTATAGATCTGGAAACTAAGCCCCCAAAAGGTTGTGATTCCAGCAGTCATACAGCAACAGGGATCGGAACCCAGGGCTTGTGCTTACAAGTCCAACACTCCATTACTTCATACTTCCCAACATCTGTGAATTGGAGCAGAAACACTCCTGCCCCTTCTCAACTTCCAGTGTGGGACAGAAGGCTTGAAAGGAAGAGGAGGGTGGTGGGGCTGGGTGATGAGTTCCCACCCCCAGGGATGGGCAGGGACTCGCTTGCTTGCCTGTTAGCTGTTGTGCTGCGGTGCCTGTGCCCACTGGATAGTTCTTGCCTTCTGGTTCTCTGTGGTATGAAACACAGAAAATTCTAGACGAGTAGAGCTTGGTCTAGGGGAACAGAGGAAATGTGTGGAAGGGAAGCCACCTCCCCACTTAGTCACCCGTACGGTTACTGCCAACACCTGCCGGTTGCTGGGGGAACTGTTGCCTGCATCTTTGTTCGTCACCTGATGAAGCTCCCCCTGGGTGGCATGTTACCAGCATTCCAGAAGATGCCTAAAGGAGGACTGTGTCAATATGTCTTGTACACAGTCCACGGACATATATGTGCATGTGAACTATGGGCAAGTCACAGTGTCTCTTAGCCTCAGTTTCCTCTTTTATAAAAAGGAAGAGGGAAGCATGAACCATAGAACATCAGTAGCTCACCCAAATCACTTATTTTGATAGGGAAATTGAAGCTCAGAAAAAAAGTGACTTACCTAAGGTCACACAGTGGGTTAGTGGGGACTTGAAAACTAGGGGTTCCAAGCCTCTTTCCAATGTACAATAGTAAGATCTTTCTCATAGAGATATTCTGTTCTTTGCCATAAATAATTATTAAGTGCCTACAAAGTGCAAGACACTATGGTGGGCACTAAAGATGGATAATTTGATCATTCCATAGATTTATGAGCTCATGTAAACAGTGGTTCATAGTGCAACCTATTATCTATGCCTTTTCTTTGACTTCCTTCAACTAAAATCCTACCTTCTATAAGTCTTTCCTAATTGTAATGCTAGTACCTTTCCTCTGTTGATTATCTCCAATTTGTACATAGTACATGTTGACTTCCCCATTGAGACTGTGAGCTCCCTGAGGGCAGGGACTGGTTTTTTTTTTGGCTTTTCTTTGTATCCCCAGTACTTGGCACAATACATGGCACATAGTAGGTGCTTAATCAGTGCTTGTTGACTATAAATCCTCTAGAGGGGTTTCACTGTACATGCTGAGGGGCTTCCTCCTGACAGTTTGGACCATGTGTGTAGGCTGTTCCGTTCCTTATCCTTTGCTCTTGTCCCATGACTGGCTCACTCTCTTTTCTGGGCATAGAGCTCTCTGATGACATCCTTTATTTTTTATTTTATTTTTTGGCTAGGCAGTGGGGTTAAGTGACTTGCCTGGGGTCACACAGCTAGCAAATATTATGTGTCTGAGGTCACATTTGAACTCAGGTCCTCCTGAATCCAGGGCCGGTGCTCTATCCACTGCGCCACCTAGCTGCCCCTACAAGCATTATTATTACCATTTTACAGATTAGGAAACTGAGGCTCAGAGAGGTTGAGTGACTTGCCCAAGGTCACATAGTAAATGTCAGAATAGGGTTCGGAGTCTTTTCTTTCCACTACACAATGCTACCTCTCATATATGGGACTGTGATGTTATAAACCAAATGTGGGGTTTCATTGTCAATCAGTTCAGGCATTGTGCTTAGTACAGAGGATAGAGCTCGTTCCTGCCCTCCAGGAGCTTTTATTTTATCTGGAGAGAGAACAAGTACATAAACAGGCTTATGTAAAATAGGGGAAGGGACTAGCAGCTAAGGGAACCAGGAAAGGCCTCATGCAGAAGGTAGAGTTTGAGTTGTTTTTGAAGGAACCAGAGACCCAAGGAGAGATGTGAGGAAAGGTAGCATTCCAGGCTTGTGGTACAGCCAGTGTAAAAGGTACAGATAAGGGAGGTGGAGGGTTTTGTTTGAGTAACAAGGCCAGTCTGGATGGACTATAAGAGGGTATGGAGGGGAGTAATGTGTAATAAAGCTGGATGGTATATTGGAGCAAAGTTGTGAAGAGTTTTAAATGTAAAACTTAGTAGTTTAATACTTAATTCTCGAAGTAATAAGGAGTTATTTGGAAGAGTAGAGGTTAACTGGAGTTACTGGGGAGAAAAGTAGAGGTTGTGACATGGTCAGACATGTGCTTTAGGAAAATCACTTTGGTGGCTGCATAGATTGGAGTAGGGGGCAAGACTGGAGGCAGGGAGACCAATTAGAAGTCGATTAAACTAGAAAGCAAAGCTGATGAATGCCTGAATTAGGGTAGTAGCTGTATGAGTGGAGAGAAGGGGACATATTTAGAGATGTTGTAGAGATAGACATGATAAGATTTGGGGACTGATTGAATATGTGGGCTGAAACTGAGGAATCAAGGATGAAAAGATTGTAAATCTAGGATTCTGGAAGAAAGGTGGTGCCCTTGACAGAAACAGGAAAGCTTTGGAAGAGTTTTCAAGGAAAGATAATGAATTCTATTTTGCACATGTTGAGTTCGAGATTCCTGTGGGACATCCAGTTTGAACTGTCCAATAGGCAGGTAGTAATGCAAGATGGGAGCTCAGGTTAGAGATCCGGGCTGGAAAAATAGATGTGGGTATCATCTTCATATATCATTTGCTCATAGGAGCTAATGAAGTCACCAAGTGAAAGAATACAGAGAGAAAAGAGAAAAGGGCTCTCAGGACAGAGCCTTGGGCTATATCCACATTTAGAAAGTGTGATATAATGAACCCTTAAAGTAGACTGAGAAGGAACAATTAGATGTGCAGGAAGAGAACCAAGAGAGCAGGGTCCTGGAAACTGTCAGAGAAGAAGGTGTTTACTAGTATCAGATGCTACACAGAGATCAAAAAGCATGAGAATTGAGAAAAAGTCTTTGGGTTTGACAATTAGATTATATGTTAACCTTGAAAAGGGTAGTTTCAGTTGAGTTTCTATCTATCTATCTAAAACTAACTAGCAGGAATGGTTGGATCTAGGGAGGATTTTTTTTTTAAAGGATGAGGAGACTTGAATGTGTTTGTAGGTAGGGAATAAAACTTAACTGTGGGGAGAGATTGAAGATTAGATAGTGAGAAGGGAAATGATAGTGGAGGAAATCTGATGGAGAAGACAGGAGGAAAGCATCGTCACTGTTTTTTCCATTTTTCATGTTGTTTTTCTTTCTAATTTCATACTTAAATGCTTTCAGGATGATCTGGCTTAAGTCCCTGTAAACATTTGTTTCCCTCCATAGCTACTCACTGTTTTATGTACCTTTGTAATTTGCCACCGTTTTCCTCTATATATCTTATAAATGTTTATATTCTAAACTTGTGTTGTCTTGGGGGCCATTTCACTTGGGGAGGAGATACAGTATTTGCTGGTTGAGGCAGTTTCTAGGCTCTTTTGAGCTCCTTCCTGTGGCAATTAAGTTACATTGGTTAAATTTTCTTAAGAAATTGTGATGGTCTTTGTCATTTTTAAAATCCACTTTCTTTTTTTTTGCATCAATAACTTCTTGAAATAGGTCAAATCGAGGTAGCTGCATGTTCATTTTTGTTCTTTATTCTAATTTTGATCTTTGCTTTAATAATTTGGTAACTGTACCCTGACAGTTAATTTGGAAATGACTCCCACATCAGTACCCAGGTATTTCTTGTCTGTTCAAATATGATTTTTTTTTTGTGATGCTTTCAAGTCTTAGTGCCTCCCACCTCTCTTTTTGAAGATGATATATTCATTATCTATGGACATGACATTTCCATATGGTCTATGTCTATATGCTTCTCATTTCTTATTCTTATGTCATGTTTTACAATTCTTTGCCATCCTCCCCTATGCCCACCTTTATGTTGAAGTTACTATTAAAGTATATATTGATTTAATTTGGAGGGTCCTGATCTTAACATGTGTTTTGTAGAATTTCTCCAGCTCTTCATCCCCTGAACAGATGTTGGTACCTAAGTTGCATTATCTTCATGGCTGCCTTATTTCAAATGGTTAGCTTGAGCACTGCCATATGAGATAAACAAACATCCTATGAAATGATATTTCTTCTTGTCTCTAGACAAGATATTAAAAAAACAACAGAACAAACTCTACCAATTCCTTTATTTTCATCCCAGAGAAGAAACTGTGAGCCACCCTTCTATTTAGTGGCAACTTCTTTTGTCTTCTGACTTAGTTATCTCACATTTGATGTTCACTGTCTAAAAACAGTGATTTAACTTAGTACCTTCTTCCCCCTTTTCTACCATTCTGCCACTATCACTGCAGAAGTACTAAACTGGTCATATAGCACTGAGGGCCATTTTATGTTTTTGTTTCATCTACTGCCCCATCCAAAAGCATTCATCACCAAGTGGTCAACTCATTGGTGACAAGCCTTCCCATGTTTAACTGGTCCTTAGAAAGCAGATATAGTCTAGTCCTAGCTCTATACTTAAAATTTCTTCCATCATGGTAGAACCTGTCAAGACCTTGCTCTCTGTTGGCATAGTCTTAGAGAATCCAAGTATCATCTCCTTCCCAACATGGAGGCCTTTGTAGAGCTAAAGAACCTAAGACTGTAACTTGGGTGTCCTGAAACCCTTTCTACCATGGTGGCTAAGGTTCTTTATAGCTATAATTCTGTCTAATTGAATAAACATTAAGTACATATAGTGTATAAGGCACAACACAGTCTTTCTCTTCAGTAAACTCACTTCTGTGTCTAGCTGATGTGTCCAGGTTCTATTATTTTTTGTCGCTTACCATGTAACTGTAAAATGCCCTAAGAACAGACTTTTACTGAGGCCAGTTCAGAAAATTGGTGTTCAAAGAGAGTTTATCCCTGGAAGTCTTCAGCAAAGATGGGGTTTGGCATAGTTCTCTGATGGGCTTTGAGCAACTAGGCTTGAATCCTTATAGACTCTGATAGACAAAAATCCGTGGGATGCCACTGACTACTTTCCTGGACTGAGGGATGGCTATGTGAGCCTACAATGAAAGAATTCATTATGTACTGACCACTCAGAATGTGTCCCTCCTGAGGGAGGTGGACGGATTGGCACTAGTAAGATAAGGTGGCAGAGCAGGAAGTAGAACTCAGGTCTCTGGACTCTAATGCCAACGATCTCACTAATGTGCCATTCTTTACTATCTGTGAACTGAGGCAGAAGCACCTCTGTGTGAGGAAGCTGGAGGGAGGGGTGTCTAGGAAGTTAGTGTGGCTCTGTTGAAGGGTGATGGGCCTGGGGTGATGGATCCCGATGGCTGAGACTGAAGAGGACTCACTTTCTAGAAGGCTGGGGGAAGGGGTAAAAAGGCAATGGGGCTGGAGGACAGTACACTGCAAACTGCAGGTGTTTGACCAGTGTTTGCTCACGGAATGAATCGAAGGAATGGGAGGGTGGGAATGAGGGAAGTTGCCTGGGAAGACCCAAGGGAAGGAGGGAAGAGGGCAGGGGCTGAAAACAGGAAAAAAAATGGGAAAGGGGAAGTGGAAAAGGACCTAGACTGGAATAAGAGCCAGGGTCAGGTGGAGTGTGCGTCTGGATGAGGCTCGGCTGGGGGAGGGCGGTGTCCCTGGGGCCACGGAAACTGGGGCAGGGCGACCTCTGAGGCAGCGACTGATAACTGCGGCAGGGGAAAATGGGCAGCTTCAGTCTGAGGGGCTAGCTTTGGAGTGGAAGGGAGCTGCTTCCTCAGGAAGGCAATATCCTGGCTAGGGTGGAGGAGGACAGGACGGAGGTTACCAAGGCCGCTTTTCTCTGAAGCTTTTGGAAATGGAGGGAGAGCTGAGGGGAGGCCGGGGGCGGAGCTGGAGGTGGGGGAGGGCGGGGCCTAGAGGACGGGGGGGAGGGGCGCTCGCTCGACGGCCGTTGGCGGCGTGCGCTCCTGGTGGGCGGGGTTGCTTCCGGGGCCAGTGACAGCCAAGGCCGGCCCCGGACTAGCCCCTGGTGTAGCCTTCGGGCTCCGCCCCCCGCTCCGCTCCTCGAGCTCGCTTCCCCCACCCCTCGCCGTTCTCGCTGTTTGGACAGGTCAGGCCAGGCTCAACCACTGGTGAGGAGAGCCCGGATCCTGGGTGGGAGACCTTCTCCCCTGACGGCGAGTGGGTAGCAGCCATAGGGGAGGGGCCGACGTGGGCGGAAGTGGAGGGGAGAAATGGGCGGGGGCGGAAGCTGGTGTGTTGGGCGGGGCGGTGGGCGGAAGTTGGCGGGGATAGGAGAAATGGAGAGAGGCTGGGAGGAGCGGGGGTGGCCAGGCCCTCTGGGAGAGTTTGTAAGAAGACCTGAGGCAGATGGGCAGAAGGTTTGGGGGTGTAAGGAGGTGGGTGATGGGAAAAAGTTTTGGGCGAGTGTCAGGAGATGAATTAAGTTGGACGAAGTTAGCCGTGTGTCTGGTTGTACATTTGGAGGGGTATTTGGAAGCGTGAGGACACTTCATTTTTACATTCTTAGTCCCTGGCTTCTCGATCGGCAAATGCCATACACCACTTCCCCCCCCCCCCTCCAATTTTACAACATGAGGAAATGACCTCAGAGATTATCTAGTACAATCCATTCATTTTACTGTTGCAGAAATTGAGGCCCAGAGAGAAGTGACTGCAAATGAGTACGCCTTTGCCTAGACCCTCGTATGACAGCTGCATTTGACTGGCACAAATTCCCCAAGTGACTGAAAATTGCTCTTCATCTACTCCTTTAAGCCTGGGCACGACCCTTAGGTGCGTTGCTTAGGCATCCTAGGGAGAAAGGAACCTATTTGGGAACTCAAAGATAATCTGACCTTCTCAACTACCGGGTCATCTGATAAATTGTGCCATGGATCTAGTCTCAAACCTATTCTGTCACTGAGATAGCTCTTGATATTCGACATGAAATCCCAAGAAACTCTCTTAGACGCACCTGAAGATCAGTGATGTTGACTCTGGACCATCTTGGCCTGACTAAACTTGAAGTTCTCAAGCCAGTCCATTCACTTGTATTCACTACCCCATGAGTACATTTAACTCACTTCTGATGCACAATTTTTTTTTCTTGACGAGGCAATGGAGGTTAAGTGACTTTCCAGGGTTACACAGCTAGTACATGTCAAGTGACTGAGGTTCGATTTGAATTCAGGTCCTGACTCCAAGGCAGGTGCTCAATCCACTGTGCCAACTTGCTGCCGCGATGGTTAATTTAAATGTATTTGGTCTGAAACACTTTGTTACGTAGTCAGGTAGGCTAAGCATTCAGCTCTTGATGGTCTCCATGTGTGTCTTAAATGATGAGCTGCCCAAAGGGCAAGAACTGGATCTGACTCAGCACAATCCATGATAAACACTTTTTGTTGTTCATGATGATGATGATGATGTTGATGATGATGATGGAGGAGGTAGGGGTTATTCTCCCTCCTGGATTATTGAATAGCTTCCAATCTCCCCCTCTGATACATTGTGCATATGCTTGTTCTGTATCAAAGGTTTGGTTTTTTTAAAACTTTTTTTTGTGTCATATGCCTCTCTGGCGTCTTGGTGAAGCTTATGGACCTCTTTTCAGAATAATATTTTTTTAATATTCATAATGGAAAGAAATTCTAAATTGCAATTAGAAACTAGTGAAAATAAAAATGTATTTTTTTCTCCATCCACGTTCACAGACCCCCTGAAATCTATCCATGGACTTCTAAGGGGTCTGTGGACCCCAGGTTAATCATTTGTGCTTTAGAGTCATCTTTGTAAAGCAGAGATATAATGACATCACTTTCCTAGTAAAAGACTTCAATTGCTCCCCAGGGCCTACAATAAGGTCCATACTCTTTAGCTTGCCATTTTGTGTTCTTCACAAGCTAGCTCTAATCTATCTTTTCAGCTACACTGTTACTTTGATTGTTCCTTTTCTTTTTTTTTGGTGGCATAGTGGAAAGGGCAATGGATTTAGAATCAAAGTATCAGTGTTTGCTACTTCTCACCTCTGTGACCTTGGCCAAATTACTGCGTCCCTTGGAGGCTTAGTTTCTTCATCTATAAACTGGGAATAATACCTGTACTACCCAACTCACAGGGTTGTTGTAAGGATCAAATGAGATGACTTATTTAAAAAGTCTTAGAAATGTAAATTGTTGTTATGTTTCAGCCAAACTAGGTTATTTGTTTTTCCTCCAAAATATCTTTAGTACTTCCTCTTATCAATCAATAACTAGCCTTTATTAAGTGCCTACTGTGGTACTGTGTTGAGGAAAACATGTGCACATAATTATGTTTAAAATATATAAAGTAAGTACAAGATAATTTCGTGGGGAAGGAGCTAGCGGCTGGGGTTGCAGTCAGGAAAACCTTGTGCAGTAGGTGGTTCTTGAGCTGAGCTTTGAAGGAAGCTGTCTTCATCCCTTAATGTCTTTGTTCATACCATCCCTTATGCCCAGAATGCCCTCCTATCTCTGCTTGTTAATAACTGTTCTTCAAGGCCCAGTCCAGGTGTCATCTCCTTCCCTGGTCCCTCTAGCTAGAAGTCAATTCATTCAATTCAGGAAGCATTTATTAAGTGCTTACTATACAGTCAGTGAATAAACATTGAACCTACTATGTGCTAGGCACAGTGCTAACCACTGGGGATACAAAGAAGGGCAAAAAAGCAGCTTACCCTCAGAGCTTACAGTCTAATGGGCGAGACAATGTGCACATAATCACGTACAAACAAGATATATTTGGGATACGTTGGAGATAGTCAACAAAAGGAAGGTGCTGGTATTAAAGGAATCAAGAAAGGCTTCTTGTACAAAGTGAGATTTTATTTTTATTTTATGAGGCAATTGGGGTTAAGTGACTTGCCCCAAGTCACACAGCTAGTAAGTATTGTGTGTCTGAAGTCAGATTTGAACTCAGGTCCTCCTGACTCCAGGGCTGGTGCTGTATCCACTGCACCACCTAGTTGCCCCAAAGTGAGATTTTAGCTGGGACTTGAAGGAAGCCAGAGAAGCTAGGAGATGGAAAAGAGGAAGAAGAGAATTCTAGGCATGAGGGACAGCCAGTGAAAATGCATGGAGTCAGGAGATGGTGTCTTATGTGAGGAACAGCAAGTAGGTGAGTGTTACTGGATCACAGAGTATATGGAGTGGAATAAGGTATAAAAAGACTGTAAAGGTAGGAGGGATCCTGGACTTTGATTTCCAAACAGATTTTATGTTTGATCCTAGAGGTAATAGGGAGCCTCTAGAGTTTGTTCAGTGAGGAGGGTTCGGGGTGACATGGTTAGACCTGTTGTTTAAGGAAGATCAATTTGGCAGCTGAGCAGAGAGAGGACTGGAGTGGGAGAGATCAAGGAGATCAAGAGAGCAGGCTATTACAGTGTTCAGTTGTGGAGTAACTGAAGCTGGGTGGCGGCAGGATCACAGCAGAGAAGAATGTATATACAAGAGATGTTATGGAGGTAAAGCTGGTAGGCCTTGGCAAAAGATTGGTTATAGAGGGTGAGAGAGAATAAGGAGTTAGGGATAACACTTAGGTTGAGAACCTGGCTGAGTGGTGGGATGCTGATACCCTTGACAGTAATAGGAAAGTTAGGAAAAGGAGAAGATTTGAGAGAAAAGATGAGTTCAGTTCTGGATATGTTGAATTTAAGATGTCTACAGGACACGTAGTTTAAGATGTCTAAAAGGCAGTTGGAAATATAATGCTGGAAGTTAGGGGTGGATAAATAGATCTGGGAATCATCAGTATAGAGATGTTGCTTGAATTAATGGAACTGATGAGATCATCAAGTGAAATAGTATAGAGAGAAAAGAGAAGAGGGTCCAGGAGAGCACCTTGTGGTCAGTGATTTGGATGAAGATCCATCAAAGGAGACTGAGGAGAGATCTAAGAGGTAAGAGGAGAAACAGGAAAGTATAGTCACAAGAACTTAGAAGAGGGTACCAAATTGCAGAGAGTGGTCAACAGTGTGAAAGGTTGTAGAGAGGTCAAGAAGGATGAGTATTAAAGAAAGGGCTGGGGCAGATAGGTGGAGCAGTGGATAGAGCACTGGCCCTGGAGTCAGGAGGACCTGAGTTCAAATGTGACCTCAGACACTCAATAGCTCTGTGACCTTGAGCAAGTCACTTAACCCCAATTGCCTCTAAAAAAAAAGGCCCCAAATATCTGGCAATTAAGAGATCACTGGTAACTTTGGAGAAAGTAGTTTCATTTGAATGATGAGATTTGAAGCCAGTCTGGAGAGAGTGAAGAGGAAAGGAAGTAGAGTCACCAATTGTAGACAGCTTTCTTGAGGAATTTAGCCACACAGAAGAGGAGTGATATGGAATGACAGCTAGCAGGGATGGAGGGGTCGAGTGAGAGGTTTTTTGAGGCTGAAGAGACATAGGCATGTTTCTAAGCAATAAGGAAAAAAACTGGTAGAGATTAAAGATAAATGAGAGGGCAGGGATGATGAAAGGGGCAGTTTTCTGGAGAAGACAGGATGTAATGACATCACTTGTGGATTTGAAGCGGTTTGTCTTGACAGGCAGAAGGTGGTACCCTTCATGTGAGACTGGAGTGAAGGAGGAGATGGTAGCAGAAGACATCCTGAGTGATGTGAGATGAGTAGGATTGTGCTCTTCTCTGGAGTTACAATGACAACATGAAAAATCACCTGCCCTCAAAGAGCTTGCATTTTAGGTTGATGCAACATTTATACAGGGAAGTTTGGTACAAGATAATTTGAGAAGAAAGGAAACGCTAAAAGCTAGGGGGATCAGAAAGCCTTCTTGTAGGGTGTATTGCTGGGCTAAGCCTTGAAGGAAACAGAGGTGAGGAGGGAGGAAATTCAGACTTGAAAGAACAGCAAGCAGGTCTGTTTGGCTGGATGGAATGGTTGAGTATGAAAGGGAGTTATATAAAATAATTCTGCAGAGGGAGGTTTGCAGTCAGACTCTGAAGGACTTTAAATACCAAGCCAAGAAATTGTTATCATAGAAGCAATGGGAAGCCATTGAGGATTCCTGAATAGGGGAAGTGACATAGTCAGTGTTTTAAAAAGATAATTTTTCCAGCTGTGTGGAGGACCATTTGGAGAAAGTGCAAACAGGGAGATCAGTTTGGAGGCTATTGCAGTAGTCCAGGAAAGAGGGCCTAAACTAATGTGAATGGAGAGAGGAAGGGATAGATTCAAGAGGGGAGGAGGAGTTAGAATTGGCAACACCTGGATATGTTGGGGTTAGGGAGAGGGAAGAGTCAAGGATGACTCCAAGACTGAGAACCTAAGTTATTGGAGGGATTGTGGTGCCCTCCACAGAAATAGGGAAGTTTGGAGGAGGCCTGATGGATTTTAGGGGAAGGGAAGGCAATAAGCATTTATGAAGTGCCTTCTATGTGTCAGGACTGTTTGCTAAGCATTTTTACAAATATTTGATTCTCACAACAACTCTGTGAGGTAGGTGCCATTATTATCCCCAATTTACAGTTGAAGAAATTATGGTAGACAGAAGTTAAGTGGCTTGACCAGGGTCACACAGCTAGTAAATATTTGAGGCTGGATTTGAACTCAGGTCTTCCTCGCTCCGGGCCTGGGATTCACTGTGCCACCTAGTTGAAGGAGTTTAATTTTGTATATATTGATTTTGGGATGCCAACAAGATATCTAAGTATAGATTTTGAGGAGGTAGTTGGTACTCCACAACTGGAATTCAGGAGAGAAATTAAGACAGGGAATATATAGATTCGGTAGTTATTATGGGATATTATGGGATTATACTATAACCAGATTAGAGTTGAGAGGGAATTTAGAATTTAGAAATTATACTCCTGGCCCCTCTCTCCCTGCCCTACCTCCCTGTCTCCCCAAGCCATTTTACAGATGAAGAAATTGAGGCTCAGAGTGGGTAAGTGACTTGAAATGATTCTTTTTCCTGTGCAGTCCTCTAGGATTTAGTTAATAGCACTCATGTAGCTCGTATCATGTCCTGCCTTCTACTGTACTTAACTGAAGATATTTTATTACCGTTAACACAAATATAAGTTCCCCAAGGGCAGGGAGGTCTCTCATCTATCTTTTTCTCCCTTCCTTAGGATTGCTCACACAGATCCTTCCTGTAGTGGACACTCAGGAAATGATTGTTAACTGACAGATTGAAAAAGTTTCATTTTCCCTAACTTTCATGTAGAGCCTGAAACTGAATGGACCATGAAGGTCAAGGTTATTTCAGTCTTGGAAGACAACTACATGTATTTGGTCATTGAAGAGAATACCAGAGAAGCCATTGCAGTAGATGCAACAGTTCCCAAAAGGGTAAGTAGGGGTTTAGGAACCTTCTCTTTGTGGGCCTCAGTCACCTCTTAAGGTGGCACCAGCCAGGGCTAACTATTCTCAAGAGGCTGGGTTGTTACAGAAACTGAAGAATTCCCGGTTTTGAGTTATTGTGCTTTGGCTAGTGAGTTATCAAGACTCTAATCAGTGTTTTTCAGTTTAAGTTCTATGTTAACTTTTAAATTATCAAAGAATTAAAATGAAAGAAGTTGAACAACAGTTAAATTTAGGAGTAAAAATTTATGAGGGATCTTTTTGGGGACCCCTTTCCTATTCAGGTGACTGGGATAGGGGAGACTGAGTAGGTGGGAATGCTCTTTTTCTAGGTCTCAAGCCGTGTAAGGTCTGCTGCTATAGTAGGTTTGGTCATAGTAATAATGGTAAAATGGCATATGAAGGAAAGGAATAAATTTATTGGGTTCTTGGCTCTGTCACTAATGTTCTGTGTGACTGTTGGTAATTCACTTCTTTTTTCTAAGATTATTGCCCCCCCCCTTTTTTGCTTTTAGGCAATTGGGGTTAAGTGACTTGGCCAGAGTCACACAGCTAGTATCAAATGTTTGGTCTGAGGCCAGATTTGAACTCAGGTCCTCCTGACTTCAGGGCCAGTGCTCTATCCACTGTGGCACCTAGCTGCCCTTTTTTGTTTTGCTTTGTTTTGTTTTTTGCATATTTCCCCATTTTTAAAGCACAGGGTTTCATTAGATGACCTTTAAGGTCACTGCTGACATTCCATATAGCCAAGGTTTCTGTGGTAATGGAGAAAGGAGATGTTACAAAGCTGAAATTGGGGGCAATTTGTTGTGTCTCTGACCTTTCTTGTGGTAATTACACTTCCCTGTCCTCCATGTTGATCATTCTGAAAGCCCTGGAGAGACACACAGCTAGTTGCCTTCCTGGAAGCCATGCCCTTTAGGGATCATGAACATGAGATATGCCCTTAAGTCTGAGATTGAGGTTATGGAATCCCTAATGCACCTGAGGGAGAACTCAGAGATCCTCATACTACCGTGGCTGTATTGGAGATGCTCCCATGTTTCCTATACACTGCTACAGCAAAATGGTGGTTAGATCAGTTACTGGGTTACCAAATTGTCCTGGGTAGAGCAAAACACATGGAGATTTGCGATTGTCTAGGGATGGGCTTTGCCTTCTCCAAGGAGGCATTTGTCATTGTCATCTGCTTGGCAACTTTCTCTTCTGAATGGATTTATTTGTGAAAGTGCCTGTGAGTTGCTCTTTCTCTTTCTGTCTCTTTTTTTTTTTGGCAGTTGGGATTAAGTGACTTGCCCGGGGTACACAGCTAGTAAGTATCTGAGTCTGGATTTGAACTCAGAACTTCAGGGCCAGTGCTCTATCCACTGCGCCACCTAGCTGCCCTGATCTTTCTCTTTTTTATGCTGTGTGCTGTAATTCCTAAATGCTATTGATCTGATGTTGATGAGTCAAGGAAAGCACGGTTGAGGAACTATGACAAAAGGCAGAGATTCAAGAAGACATGTCAATACAAAACAACTCTAAAGAGAAGCAAGTGCAGAAAGGGGGTCATTGGACTGCAGGAGCAGACGCAGAAGGAGAACACGTGGAAATGGATCCCAGCTAGAACTTAGGTCATTCTGGACCTTGGAAAGAGGCTGAGAGCGGTAGCCCTGTGCCTGCCGCCCACGGTCACTACCTCAGTCTACTTTCAGATATAACTAGAACAGTCCTGGTGCAGGCCTCGAAGCTTTTGTTGGCATGCAGCCCTCTTCTGGGCAGTCCTGCCTAACATTGCCTAAGCTTTCTATCAAAGCCTCCTGTTATTCCAACCCCTTCTGTCTTTCCCTCTCAGGTTCATAATCTCGGTCCCAAGCCTGCCTCAGGGAGGGACTCATTATTCTACATTATGATATCTTGCCTTTTGATCCTTCCAAGGTCCAACTCCAGCCGTGCTTGTGCTGTGTGGAGGGGGCTGTGTGTGTGTGTGGCCAAGGGCCTCTCTAGAGGAGGAGATATATTGGCCCATTACTAGCTGTCTGATTGCTAGATAGATTTAGGTAATTTCTGGGATAAACTATTTTTGATTATAGGGAATAAAGCCCTGACAAATGTTTAAAGGCAGTATCTTTCCTTCACCCACTTTCCTTAAATGAAACAGAAACCTCAAGGCTGTCTGGGGGATGGGCTATGCTTTCTCCAAGGAGTCCTTGTCATTTGCCTAGCAACCCTCCTCGTCTTCTGACTAGACTCATTTGGGATAGTGCCTGCTGTAATTCTTCATCTAGTTTCAGGCCTAATTGGTCTTTGCTGCTTCACTAAGAAGTCTGAGACCCTGTCATATTCTGCCTGAACCTAAACTGAAATCACGTGCAGAGGGTGGAGTCAGTGAACTTGAGAAGTCACTCACTAGGTAATGGAAAAAGCAAGAGATCTATCTTTGAGTCACAGCTCTGCCCCTTACTACGACATTCCAGAGGTTATTTAACCCTTTTGGGCCTCATTTTCCTCCTGTAAAATATGGATATTGGATTAATTAACCCCCAAGGTTCCTTTCAGTTTGGATATTCTGTGATTGTGATTGTGATTCTTGGGAAGGCTTATGCTTCATGGTGACAAAGGCCATTTGGGCTGATGGGCTGGTAGTTTCTGCTGACAAGAATGTATCAGTGCTGGTTCTAGTTTGCATTTCCCTCGGGTGCCAAAAGATCCTTTGTCAGGGTTCCTCTGTGGGAGAGGGGATTTGGGAAATTCCTTAGCATCTCACTAGCGGTTGCCTACTGACCTGACCAAATGAAGATAAGAGCTATAAGCTGCCCTGCTTTAGGGTTAGCCCTTTGCTTTGTAGGGCTTGGAGCAGGCTGACTTAATTATGTGTAACTGTGTTCCTTCCTCCTCAGTCCTATAGTCGTAAGCCTTGACTTCTTTACTCCCTCAATACCCTCATCTCTTGCTGATTAATATGGTCTCTGAGCAGAGTTCAGGAGGAAGCTGATTCTTTCTGAGGAGCACCCCAATTCTCTTTCAGTTGCTGGAAATTGTTAAGAAGGAGGAAGTGAAGTTGACAACCATCCTGACCACTCATCATCACTGGTAAGTAATTTCCCTTTGTCTAAAGATTGTTCCTCACCTGTTTCTTCTAGTCCTAAACAGTTCAACAAGACTAGGCCTATTAGAGGCAACTAGTTGGAACAGTGAATAGAGTGTTGGCTAAGAGTCAGGAGAATCTGAGTTCTAAACTGGCCTTGGACACTTGCTAGCTGTGTGATCTGGGCAGATTACTTAACTTTTATTTGCCTCAGTTTCCTCAACTGTAAAATGGGAATAATAATCGTACTTACCTCCCAGGGTTGTTGTGAGGATCAAATAAAATAATATTTGTAAAAGTGCTTAGCACAGTGCCTGGCACATAGTAGATGCTTAACTTCTTTCCTTCCTTTCTGTCCTCTCTGTATCTTTCAGAGAGGAACTTGACACTCCTCTCTTTGATGAAGGGCAAATGTGAGTCCCAGTTGTTTGGGGTCTGATTTACAGATTTACTAGCTTCTTATAATCTCTTATTACTGGATTTTCTCTTCTAAGTATTTCTTTTTAATATAAATTTGCTTTGCTCTCCTTTTTTGATTAAATTTGTGCCTTTTAAATAAAGTTAACCCATCCAGAGCTGTGCTCTCAATAGGAGACCAAACTCTCCAAGTCTCAGTGATTTTTGTGATGTCATTCCCTCCCCTTCCTTTAGGATCATCTCTTCACTGTTTGGTACTCATGCTTTTCCCATCCGTATTTTGTCCCAACTTCCCCAGTCAACACTCCTGGTTCTCCTAGACCTCATAAGACCTTACCTGTCATAGACCTTACCTGTCTCCTTTTGATTTTAGATCCTTCCTGCCATTATTATTGTTTTTCTTTTTCCTTGCTTTTTGGTGAGGCAGTCAGGGTTAGGTGACTTGCCTAGGGTCACACAGCTAGTAAGTGTCAAGTGTCTGAGGCCGGATTTGAACTCGGGTCCTCCTGACTCCAAGGCTGGAGCTCTATCCACTGCACCTCCTGGCTGCCCTGAGGTATTATTATTGTTTTATTTATATTTTCTCATTCTTGCTCAGGGGAAGAATTGTTAAGTTGTCATAGGATCATAGAACCCCACAGTTGGAAGAGACCTCAGAGAGATCCCTGTCTAAGCAGGAATCTCATCTATAACATTCCTGACAAATGGTCAGACAGCCACTGTGATACCTGGGGTCCTCATGTTGAAGAGAATGAAGCATGGACTCAAAGTGGCTTAATAAGGATGCTTGAAGAGGAGTTAGATTCATTCTCTTTGGCTTCAGAGGACAGGACTAGGAACAATGAGTGGAAGTTATGAGGGGGTAGATTTTAACTCAATATAATGGAATGGATCTACTTTAGAGATAGTGAAACCTCCTCACTGGGAGGGAGTCTTCAAGTAAGGCCAAGGGATCACCTGTCAGGAATGCTGTGAGATTCCGTGAATCTTTTACCCTTGGGAAAGCTTGACCTTGAGTCAGTGTCACAGCCCAAAGGATTGCATACAGCTGTCTTTTATGCTGTGGTGCCATTTGAAGAAACCAGAAACCACAGGTCCTGTGTGTGCCCCTTGCTTCCCTGAGTAAAGTGAGGACAGATTCAAGGAAATTAGAGTTCTGGGGTAGGACACCTTTAGTTGTAACCTGTGTATCAGTTTGAATTATTTTGAGGTTATGGGAAACCCCTGTCTACCTTTATGGTATTTTCTTTTTTGCCCTTGATTGGTGATCAGAGAAAGAGAACTCTACTTAGTCAAGTGTTTGGGGAGCACCCAAATCTGCCTTCCATGGCAATGAGGGGGCTTCTGGATTGGCTGAGGATCATCCTGGGATTATAGAACTACAAAAGAGCTCCCTAATAGCCAAGTCCCATATCATCTGTCTGAGTATCTTTTTAAAAAAAATTTATTTTATTAATTTATTTTGATTTATCAACAATCACTTCCATATGCTTTTGAGTTTAAAATTTTTCTTGCCCTTCCTCCCCACCGCCCTCCCCAAGATGGCACACAGTCTCATATATGCTATACATTTACATTCCTTTTAAACATATTTTCACATTAATGAAGTTGTAAGTAAAAATTAAAACCAATAGGAGGAACCATCAGAAAGAGGAAATAAAACTCAACAGAGGAGAAAAAAAAAAGATAGCGATTCAACTTTAACAGTTATGATCACTGTGTCTTTTTCTCCATCCTTTTTTTGCCCTGTTTATGCTTTTCTTTCTCTTTTCTCCCCTTCACTAGTGTTTTGCTTTTGACTGCTGCCTCCTTCAGTCTCTCCTCCCTTCTATTATTCCTTTCCCTTTTCTTCCCCTTTGCCCTTACTGCTTCTTCCCTCCCTTCTATTCCCCCTCCCTTTTCTTTCCCCTTTTCCCTCCTACTGCCTATAAGGCAAGTTAGATTTCTATACCTAACTGATTATGTTATTCCCTTCTTGAGCCAAATCTGATGAGAGTAAGGTTCAAACAATGCTCACCCCCTCCTCCTTTCCCTCTGCTGTAATAGGATTTTCTGTCTTTTCCTGTAATGTAATTTACCCTTGTCTGCCTCTTCCTTTCTCAGTATATTTTCTAAGATCAGACTAATCCACTTACTTGGATCCATTTAACCCACTTGATTAGATTTTTTTTTATCATTACATCAAAGTCAACTAATATCCACCCCCTTTATGTATACTCCTTTAACATGGTGTAATAACAATACAGTTCTCAAGAGTTGCAAGTGTCATCTTCCCTTGTAGGGATGTAAACAGTCCGCCCTTATTAACAACATTTGTATCTTTCTGTCCCATTTACCTTTTTATGTCTTTCTTGAATCTTGTACTTGAAGATCAAATTTTTTGTTGAGCTCTGGTCTTTTTATCAGGAAGGTTTGGAAGTCCCCTATTTCTTGAATATCCATCTCCTCCCTTGAAAAATCATGCTCATTTTTGCAGGGTAGTTGATCCTTGGCTGCAATCCAAGCTCCTTTGCCTTATGGAATATCATGTTCCACCCTGCGGTCTTTTAATGTAGAAGCTGCAAGGTCCTGTGTAATCCTGACTGTGGTTCCATGATATTTAAATTGTTTCTTTCTGGCTGCTTGCAGCACCTTCTCTTTCATCTGGTAATTTTGGAATTTTGCTATTATATTCCTTGGCATTGTCAATTTGGGATCTCTTTCAGGTGGTGAGCGGTGTATTCTTTCTATGGTTATTTTACCTTCTGGTTCTAGGACTTCCGGGCAGTTTTCCTTTATGATTTCCTGAAAGATACTGTCCAGGCTCTTTTTTTCATCATGATTTTCAGGTAGTCCAATGATTTTTAAATTGTCTCTCCTGGATCGATTTTCCAGGTCAGTTGTTTTACCGATGAGGTATTTTATGTTTTCATCCATTTTTTCATTTTTTTGTTTCTGTTTGACTGATTCTTGCTCTCTCATAGAGTCATTAGTTTCCATTTGTCCAATTCTAGTTTTTAACAGATTTTCTTCTGTTAGTTTTTGTACTTCCTTCTTCACTTGGCCAATTGTATTTTTAAGGGATTTGTTTTCTTCAGTGTACTTTTTTCCAGGGACTTGTTTTCTTCAGTGTACTTTTTTTCCAGTTGGCCAATTGTATTTCTTAAGGATCTTTCTACCTCTCTCATTAGACTTTTAAAATCCTTCTTGAGCTTTTCTAAGAAGGCTTTTTGGGCTTCAGACCAGTTCATATTCCCTTTTGATGTTGCAGATGTGGGTTTGTTGACAATGTTGTCCTCTTCAGAATTTCTGTCTTGATCTTCACTCTTCTCATAATATGAATCTATGGTAAGTTTCTTTTTACTCATGGTTTCTTTATTCCCTGGCCTTTAAAGAGATTGAGCTCTCCTGCTGGGGAACAGAGGGCACTGACCCAAGCTTCTTGTGTTGGGAGCCTAGGTCTTGGTCACTGGCTTTGTGTGCTAGGGCCTGTTATGTTGGCAATTGGAGGCTGTAGGGTTTTGGCAGCTTACCTCATGTTGGGCTGGAATCAGCAAGGCTAGAACTTTCAGGCAATTCTAGGTTGCCTGCTTTTCCTTTCCTTTAGCTTTCTTCAGCTCCTTTCAGATGAATGCTGCAGGGTGCTTATCAGCCTGGGGCCCTTTGTAGTGCTGCTTCCCTTATTTTTGCTGAGGCACTGGGAGACCTGTTTGCTGGGCTGCTACACTGCTGTTCCCTGTCTTTCTTCTAGTTCACCTGTTCTAGGTTTTTTTTTTTTTGTGAGGTGATATTTTTTGGGTTTTTAGAGGTTGATAGGGGAGGGTGAGAGTGACTACCCTTTTACTCCGCCATCGTGACTCCTGGAAGCGGAGGTCTGTCTCAGTATCTTTTGAAGAATGGATACAGTTTTCATCTGTACTGACAAACACGTGGCTGTTAGCAGTGTTGGTATTGGGTACATCTAGCTTAGAGAGAATAGGGATGTGCCAATCTGGGTCTAAGAGACTTTACTTAAGGATTTGGCTAGAAAGCTAAGGTGTTACTGTATCAGTAACAAAGACAACAAAAATCATATAATTATCTCAACAGATACAGAAAAAGCTTTTGATAAAATATAACACTCATTCTTATAAAAAAACACTAGAAAGCATAGGAATTAAAGGAACCTTTTTAAAAATGATAAGTACTACACATATAAATCCGAGAGCAAGCGTTATCTATGATGAGGATTAGCTAGAAGCCTTCCCAGTAAGTTCAGAGGTGAAAGAAGAATGTCCATCATAATCACTATTATTCAATATTGTATTAGAAATGCTAGCTGTAGCAATAAGGCAAGAAAAAGAAATTGAAGCAATACAATTAGGCAGTGAGGAAATAAAACTTTCACTGTTTGCAGATGATATAATGGTATACTTGGAGAACACTGGAGCATCAAGTAAAAAAACAGGTAAAACACTTAGCAACTTTAACAAAATTGCAGGATACAAAATAAACCCACATAAGTCATCATCATTTCTATATATTCCCAATAAAAACCAGCAGGAAGAGATAGAAAGAGAAATTCCATTTAAAATAACATTACACATTATAAAATACTTGGGAGTCTATCTGCCAAGACAAACCCTGGGACTATATGAACACAATTACGGAACACTTTTCACACAAATACACATCTAAATAATTGAAAAAATATTCATTGCTCATGGGTAGGCTGAGCCAATATAATAAAAAATGACAGTTTTTCCTAAATTAATTTATTTATTCAATGCCATACCAAACTACCAAAGAATTATTTTATAGAGCTAGAAAAAATATAACAAAATTCATCTAGAAGAACAAAGATCAATATCAAGGGAATCAATGAAAAAAAATATGAGGGAAGAGGACCTCCTAGTACTTGGTTTCAAACTATATTACAAAGTGGTAGTCATCAAAACAATTTGGTACTGGCTAAGAAATAGAGTGGTGGATCAGTCGAATAGATTCAGGTACACAGTACCCAGTAGTAAATAACCATACTACTCTAGTGTTTGACAAACCCAAAGATCCAGCCTTATGGGGCAAGAACTCACGATTTGACAAAAATTGCTGGGAAAACTGGAGAGCAGTTTGGCACAAAGTAGGCATAAACTGTCTCACACCATATACCGAGATAAGGCCAAAATGGGTACATGATTTAGACATAAAGGGTAATAGAAGCAAATTAGGGGAGCATGGTAAAATGTACCTACCTGTCAACTCTTTGGATGAGGGAAGAATTTATGACCAAATGAGATAGAGAAGGTCACGGGAGGTAAAATAGATAATTTTGATTACATGAAATTGAAAAGGTTTTGCACAAACAAAACCAATGCAGCCAAAATCAGAAGGAAAGCAGAAACTGAGAAAAGCTGTTTATAGTGAGTTCCTCTGATACAGGCCTCATTTCTCAAATATATAGAGAATTGAGTCAGATTTATAAAAATAAGAGCCATTTCCCAAATGACAAATGATTGAAGGATATGAACAGGCAGTTTTCAGAAGGAGAAATCCAAGCTGTCAATAGACACATGAAAAAAAAATGCTCTAAATCTCTATTGATTAGAGAAATGCAAATTAAAACAACTCTGAGGTGCCACCTCACACCTATTAGATTGGCTAACATAGCAGAAAAGGTAAATAAATTCTCGAGGGGATGTGGAAAAATAGATACACTAATGCACTGTTGGTGGAGTTGTGAACTGGTCCAACCATTTTGGATAACAATTTGGAACTACACCCACAGGGCTATAAAACTGTGCATACCTTTTGACCCAACAATATCATTACTAGGTCTGTATCCCAAAAAAGGACAAAGAAAAAGAAAAGGGCCTATATGTACAAAAGTATTTATAGTAGCTCTTTTTCTGGTGGCAAAGAGTTGGAAATTGAGGGGATGCCCATCTGTTGGGGAATAGCTAAGGAAATTGTGGTATATGATTGTGATGGAATACTACTATACTATAAGAAATGATGAGCAAGGTGGGTTTGGAAAAACCTGGGAAGACATGAATTGATGCAAAGTGAAGTGAGCAGAATCAGGGGAACACTGTACATAGTAACAGCAATCTTGTAACAATATTCAAATGTGAAAGGCTTGGATACTCTGATCAATACAATAACCTAAGACAATTCCAAAGGATCCATGATGAAAAATGCTATCCACTTCCAGAGAGAATGCTGATGATCTCTTGAGTACAGATTGAAGCATACTTTTTTATTTTATGTTTCTTGCTTTTTTTAAAATTATTTTTTGTTGTTTTTTTTTTGCAACATGGCTAAAGTGGAAATGTTTTATATGACTTCACATGTATAAGTGATATCATACTGCTTGCCTTCTCAATGGATGGAGGAGGTGTGGGAGGGAGGGAGTAGGGAAATAAAAAATTTTAAAACAGAAATGTAAATATATATATATATATGTATATGTATATATGTACACATAACACATATATACATATATATTTAAAGAAAGCTAAGGTGTTCCACAGTTTGGGATGGGGTAGATTTCTATGTATAGATAAATAATCAGAAGATGTAGTTTGAGACAACTTCTTCAATATATTAGTTGTGTGTAGAGTTGGAAAGAACTCAAGATTTGGAGCGAGAGGGTTTGGTTTGACTCTAGTTCTGCTACTTACTATTGTTGTCCTTGGTCTAGTCACTTTACTTCATTGAGGCTTTGTTTCCTCATCCATAAAATGAGGGGTTGGACTAGATGAGCACTAAGGGTTCTTCATCTCTAAATCTGTGGGATCCTAAGTAATTTCACCTTTCTGATCTCAGTTTCCCCATAAGTCAAATGGGACTAATAACACTTGTACTACCTGTCCACAGGAGTGTTATGAAGAAAGAATTTTTTTGAACCAAAGAACACTATGTCAATGTAATTGAACGATTATCGCTTTTCTGCTTTTCTTTTTTAAAAATCAAATCATACAAAACACCACCCCCCTTCAATCTTAGAGACCTGTTCTTATTGTATGGAGTATATACTGATGGGTGTACACGAGAAAGAAGAAAGAAGGTGCTAGGACCAACATCAAGAGAGTCAGATCAGGGTGGGGTGTATCTCTGAATCCACGGGATTCAGAGGAAGGCCAGTGGCCTCCTGCCTTAAGTTGTGAGTTCAAGGATCAGTGTAGAAAGTGGTGAAAGGTGAAGAAGGCCTTGAGGGCAAAGCCAATGAATCCTCTGCTTGGTGGCAGATGGAGGAGCTAATACACCAGGCAGCTTGTGGAGGGTCAGTGAACCCAAGACCTAGGATAGGATGCTTTACATGTATGTGGTGGCACCCTGGGAGCAACTTTCTAGGGGCCCTGAAGCAGACATAAGGACCAAGACAGGGCAGAAAGTGGGTAGGGGAAATCCCTTGTCTCATAGCATCATAGTCTCTAATAATTGCATTATTTAATAATGCAGTTATCCCTTCAGCATTACTGGAGTCAGGGGCATAGCACCCCTGTGTAAAATTTTTTGGCCCTTAGTACCAGAGAAGAAGTCTGAATTATTATGGTATTAAAAGATAAAATATAATATAATACTGTACATATATTTGATACATTTCTGAATTTCTAAACCTTTCTGTGGTGTTTGCTGGCTTTCCTGTCTTGTTTGCAGCTTCTGCAGAACTCCCCCCAAATTCCCATTTAACTTCTTATGCTGACCCGAGATACATTGAAACCACGATGGGGAAAGTCTTGACATGGGAGGGATAACTGTAGTTAGAAGGAACCTTTGGAAGCCCTCTAGTAGAACCTGTACAAGGAACTCTTTCATGTCTGATAAGTATCTCTTTGAAAGCAACTCTTTGAAAGATCTCCAGTGATAGGGAAGCCACGGTCTCCTGAGGCAGTTCATTCCACTGTTGGACAATGATAGGAAGTCACCTCTACCCATTGCTTCTCATTCTGCTCTCTAGGATCAAGGCTCCCACTTAGGTTTTTGGAGCTGGGGGAAGGGAATATGGGATATAGAGAACTGTGGCTTATCTGGGGTCCTTGAAACCTTCCTGTCTATGCAGGGATCATTCCAGGGGCAATGAGGAGCTGGTGCAGCTGTGTCCAGGGCTCCGGGTGTATGGTGCTGATGAGCGCATTGGTGCCTTGACACACAAGTTGACTCACAACCAGGAGCTCAAGGTACTGTGGCAGAGTCAGCTGTTCCCTTCTGTCCTTGCCTCCTCTTGGATGTCCTGTTCTCAAGTATGCCGCCTTACCTCCCCCCCATTGCTTAGCTCTGGGAACTTTCAGGGTTAATTAGGCTGTTGGGCTGGAAGCAGGGACCAAGAGTTATCAGGCATAGGACAAGCAAGTCACTGCTAAGCCTCTTAGCACGACCATTTCTGAGTTTCACTACCCTGAGAGAGATATGAGGAGGAGGAGGAAGATCCAGGTTCTATGCCTAGGAGGCTCAGTCTTTTTGGGAAGACATGGAAAACAAAAAGGAACGATGCATATCCGGGTATAATCTAGTTGCCCAAGGGCATGGAGGGGTGCAGAATGAGGGCACTGAGCATAGATTGGATGCCCAAAACTCTGGTCCTGCTCACATTTTCTTGTGTGACCTTGGGTAAACCATATGGATTCTCTGTTCTCATGTGCCTCTATCCGTCCTTTGTGGAGAACCACATGGCAATAGAAGAGACAGGCCCAGGGATAGACGCTGGGTGGTTTCCAAGCAGCTGAGATAAGCTTTGGCCAGGAGGGGGCATCCCTGAACCTTGTAATGAGTTAGTGAAATCTCATTGTTTCCCAGGTCTCAAGATGTAGGAGGGGGTTTTAAAGGATGAGGCTAGCTCTCTTTGGTCTAGCAAATAAATATTTCAGTTGGAGGCAGTGTGGTGCAGCAGGAATAGCACTGGGTCTCAGTTTTGCCACCAGCTTGTGGCCTTGAGCAGGTTGCACCTAGGAAGGCCTCATTATCTTTAGCGGAACAAGGGGGTTGGACTCGATTATCTCTAAAGTCCCTTCCTACTCCAACATTCTGTGTTCTAAGGCCAGCCAGACCAAAGGCTTCATGGTGCCCTTTTATGTAGAATGGGTTCTAGAAATTAGGGGGAATGGTACCACCAAGTCTGTTTGTCTTCAGAAACCTGCCCCGATCCTAGGTGAGGCGTGCAGAGGACACAAACCTTTGTCTCAGTCTTGTTTCCTTTTTGCTGGGTGTCCTCCTCTGTCCCCTGCACTGGGTCTGTGGTGGAATTTGGCCCTTGTCCATTGGCGTCCTACCATGAAAGTGAGAGAGATACCATACCTGGAAGAAAGGTATGGGATAGGGGTTACAGATACTGTCTCAGTCAACTTGGGAGCACACCTTGGGTCAGGGGTTGGGGCAGGGGTGACAGGGTAAGGGGAGGGAAAACTAGTAAGGCTTCAGGCAGTTTCCTGGTCCTTCCCTTCCCTCTGCAGTTTGGAGCCATCTGTGTGCGGTGCTTGCTCACACCTGGCCACACCTTGGGCCACATGTGTTACTTCATGTGGGAAGACAACTGTCCAGATGCTCCAGCTGTGTTCTCAGGTACCTGGAGGTGCTTCTTTGTGTTGCATACGCCTAGGAGCCAGGGTGAGCAAGAATGGGAGGGAGTACTTTGGTTTTCCTTTGGGACTGTAGTTGGCATCATTCCCTGTACATTCTCCTTTGGCTGAGGTTGTGTGTGGGTGTCTTGTCCCGATGGGACCATTCCAGCAGACATAGCATGACAATTTTGTCCACCTCCTGCCATCTGGGCTTGTGTGTGGCTGTGTGTCTCTTTCCTCTGTATTGTGTCACTCTCCATGATGTCCCTTTCCCCTGGCAACTAGAAAGAACTTCCAACCTCCTTCCCTGAACAGGCGATGCCTTGTTCATCGGTGGTTGTGGTCGACTCCTGGAGGGGACAGCAGAACAAATGTACCGGAGCCTCAATGAAACACTGGGGACTCTGCCCAAGGAAACTGTGAGCACCTATTCTTAGCCTGCTTCCCTTTCCTCATCTTCCTCTTGCAGTCTTACCACATTTTTCTTCCAGAGGCTAAATCCTCCCCCTTGGGAGGCTTTAGGTAGAGCTGGGGATGAGCTATCTGATGTCTGTCTCTTTGGTTTCCCTGACCCTACTGAATGACATCCTCACTGGGGCCTGATACTTCCAGGCTGCTGGGATGAGAAACAGAAATGTAGTACCTAGTCCTAAAGGACCCTGAAGTATGGAACTCAGGGAAAGTAAGGGGGCAGGAGAGCCAAGAATCTAAACCTGTAGGGGTCAGTTCACCTGGATTATGTCTGTAAGGGACAGATGACTTAGGTTTGTCAGGCATGGCTGGCAAACAGAACCTAGAATCTAGCCTAGTAGCCTCTTGATTAGCTAACTGTATGCCTGCCCACAATTGGAAGCTGGGGGCTTTGCCACTGAGTGTCAGGGGATGCATTAAATAGAGAAAAAATGAAGAGAATGAAATGGCTAGAGTATGGGACCTTCCTGCCTAGGTCTATAACCTTGCTGGAACTGTATAAAAATCCATTTGTTCACCATAATTGAAGTAAGTGGTTAATATCCATTCTTCCTTCTGTTGTGTTTAGGAATGCTGTTGCTTAGATGGCCAAATAGTAGTGATGTACTTAATCTTTTCTGCTTACTTTCCCAAATTTGGAGCATTCTTGGGAGACCAAATAGCTGGCTGTATTCATCTATGTCCCATATAACTTTTGCCTTATGTTATAAATATTATGGACCAGTCTTTTAATTCCTTAGTAGGATTTGTTCTCTGAAGCATGTCTCCAGTAGTGGAGAGGGGCAATCTTGAGCTAGCCATATTTTCTCACTTGTTTCCCCTTGTAGACAACATACTTTTCTTTGGGGGGCGGGAAGTAACTGGCAAGGTTAATTAAGGGTCAGATAAGGATTAGAATCAGGATTCGGTCTGTGGCTAGGCCTAGGGTTCAGTCAGGGATCAGGATTGGAGGTGATCCTGTGATTGGGGTTAGGGGCTCAGTGTATGTAATAGGAATAAGCTAATTGATTTAGATGGGGTTTTCACTTATACGTCTCCAAGACTAGAAATGTTACCTAGACCTACAAGGCTAAATACTGGAATGCTTTAGTCTTGGGTTTTAGTCTGTACTGCCACTTTGATCCTATGTGTGATTAATCTGGGCCCTTGGCTTTTCTCTCTTTTCCCTCTGTCTATAGTCCTACAACTGGCATGAGTTCTAGAGAGCCAGCCTAGGATTAGAAAGGGGGAGAAACAGACAAGTTCAATGGCAGCAGCTCTGGAGAGAGAGAGAAAAATAGAAATAGAAATATTTGGTGGGGATGGAGACTCATAGTTGTTGGTCAACAAAAGGTTTGGGGAATCCCAACCTATCTGCATGGATGACAGACATTGGGCTGATGTGCCCACCTCATTGTCCCCAGCTGAGCTTATTCTTGGGGTGGTTTAGAACATCCTTCTGTTGGCTAGATGTGCCAGGGCAAAATCCTGGCACTATGGAACCCTAAAGCATCTCTTCCTTTTCTTTTGCAGAAAGTGTTCTGTGGGCATGAGCACACTGTGAGGAATCTCAAGTTTGCTTTGAAAGTGGAGCCTGATAATGAAACTGTGAAAACAAAGTTGGCTTGGGCCAAAGTAAGTATTATAGAATTTGGGAAGACAAATGGGGCATTGAGGCAGTGTTGGGAGGAAGTAAGTGGAGGTATTAGGTAAGCTTGCTTTGAAACTGAGGACTTAGAAAATGCAATGGGGAAAGAAATTTATTTTATATAATATACCCTTTTGGTGTTTACAAGTCAGAACTAGCAGCCTCATTTTATTATCTAAACTTAACCAAAATACCTAAAAAAGGAGGCATGCTGGTCAATTTGTTAAGATTTTAAAAATCTCAGGTTTAAAGATGTAAGCTATTTGCAAAAACACTTTAGAATTGCTTCCCAAAGATGGTGGTGACAAATTCCCTTAGGTCTTTATTTCATGGAACACTGGGAAATAAACAACAATATATTTCAACTCTCTCATTTTCGCTTTGTAGAAATAAGGCAAAACAACTGATATCCCAGGAACACCTGGATAAAAGATTGTTTTTATCATTGCTCCTCCCTGTCTTTCCGTGTTGAGTGGGATGCTCGTCTTCATAATAATGGTCCATTTTAGGGACCTTTGGCAACCCAGTGTTTCAAAGGAAGGGGTTTTATTGGGTCTGGGCTATCAGGCATCCAGATGTAAATCTGGGAGAGGTCTTGCAAAGAAATTGTCAGGACCTGGTCAGTCCATTCAGTTGGGCTCTTGTGTTTAATCAAGCTCATCCTTCTTGGCTTGGCTGGCACTCTGACTCCTCTGTGCATTTACTAATAGACATTTAGTGCCAAGAGATGATGACCCAGACTGGAATGAGTTTTCTCAGCTTACTAGGATCAGCTTTCTCTCATTTGGGGATATCTTCCTCTTCTGGTCCTTAGTATACTGACCCTACTGGCACAGAGTAGGGATGTTAATGATTGTTAGATATTTGAAAGACAGGGGACTAGGGCAAATAGTCCTGACTGTCCCTCCCTTTGTATGAGCTGACACAATAGGTGTTCTCCAGTATCTCTACCACCAATCTGAGCCCCTTTCAGCTTTGGTGGCTGAAGTTTTCCTCCTTGCGGTAGCCGATAGAATCTAATTTACCTCCCAAGCAGAAAGTCCTTCCTGGTGTGGCGCTCAGAAATCCTCTCTTCACACGTTGCTTATTGTGTCCCGGAGGACAGGAGAATGAGCACTGATGAGAACTTTTTATAATCCCCGTTCATCTTGACATGTTCCATTAGGGACTTTAGCAGGCACTTTAATGAGTTGTTGTGGCAGAAGAAAGTAATCACTTGATGGGGAGCCTCTTTGCACTTGGCAATAGGTTGGTCCTTGGATAGCAGACACAGTTATCCAGCGAGCCCTACTTAAAACCAGTTCTTGAGCTCTCTTTCTCCTTTGAGAATCCGTGGTCACCTTCATGCCATAATGAGGTTTCAGAGCTTTGGCAAAGAATTACCAAGCCTTGCTAGTTACTAACAAGTTTATGTCAGCTTATGTGTATACCCTAATATTTAATGGTAGTTTATAACTACCAGGATACCTCTGGCCTATGTTCTTTCTCCCTTCTCCTTTCATTCCTTCAGTGTTTCGATGATTCCTCTGTCTTCTCCCATTAGAACTTTTGACTTTCAAATCCCCTCAGCCCCTTTATCTCAGTTTCTTTTACCCTGTTGGCTTTTGCTTCTCTTATCCCTTGATCCCTGCCAGTTCTTTTTGCTTTGTCCCTCAGTACTAGTGTGTTGACCTGGGTCAGCCACTTAGAAGGCAGCTGTACTAGCCTTTATACCATACTTAGCCCCTAGTATATTTCTGTTATAATGCATTGGGTTTATGGTACAATAATGATATTTTGTAACCCTCATCTGATGTTGCTTAGATGTGGGAGATGTTTCCAGGCCTTTCCATTGTTCTCCCCTTCGGGCACTAAGAGGGCTGTAGTAGTATATGGCCATTAATTCCTTCTTGTCTCTCCTTTTGGATGTGGGGCTGTTGTGTTGTGAAAGGAATGGAGACCAGGCTTAGGTCCCTGTGATTTCCAGCTTTTCTTCATAATGGGTGGGTAGCTGCTAGCAGGAGAGCCAGAAAACTAGAAGGGTGAGCTGAGCATTCTTTACCAAGTGCCTGCAGTAGCTGGTTCTGAGCCTGCATTTTGCTTTGGCTTTTTTGTTAACAACTTAAATGTGCTATGGCATGTGGAAAAAGTCATCACTGAACCTATTATTGTTCCAGGCTAGAGATGATGACGACATACCCACAGTGCCTTCGACCCTAGGAGAGGAGTTTCACTATAACCCCTTCCTGAGAGTAGTGTAAGTATCTTTCTGTTGGTTGGGTCTGCTTCAGCTCTGTAATATGGAACATATTCCATGTGTGTACATGCTCGATTGTCCTCTACTCTGACCTCTTCCTGTGTTCCTCCCCCCCCCGCCCCCAACTGAGCCTTACTATTGTAGGGAGGTGCTCTTCCTTCAACCCATCCCTTAGGTGTCCAGGGCTGCTGGAACTTCTGAATCCAGAACCAGGGATTCTCATTTGAAACCCTGTTTTGAAATCCTGTGTCTTTAGTTTGAGAAATGTGTAGCTCCCATGGGATGATGATGACATTTTTGTTCCAGGGGTTTTCATCATGGTTGTTGTGGGCCCAGAAATATCAGCTTAGTAGTTGAGTGAGAAAATTCACACTGGAACAGACAACATACTTAGAATGAGAAAACTTCCAGGTAGGAGAGCCATGTGGCAAGTGGCTTAAATCCTCCCTTGGCAATAATTTGGCCAGTTAGCGATGTCTTTATGGGACCATTTGCTGCAGTAAGTGGAGTATCCTTGGTAATGGAGACAGTTGGGCTCGTCAAATTTCCAAGCATAAAGGGCTGCTTGAAGCTCTGCCCTATCACATGTGTGGACTTTTGCCTGGGTAAGTGAATTTGTCATGAATGGGTTCAGTAAACCTGAAAAATAATAGTCATAGCATTGTAAAATGAGGAAGGACTGAGAGAGCTGGGTTTTGAGGAAACTATTAGGTTTTTGAAAACTTAACACAGGCCATATGCTCCATCCCTTCCTGGCCTTCTCCTTGCTCTCTAGGTCATAGATGGAAGGGCCTTTAGAGCCTTCTAGGTCAACTTCTGACTTGAAGTACAAATCCAATCTACAGCATCCGTAAGTGGTCATTCTGTCTCTACTTGAACGCCTCTGGTAAAACTCAGTGCGTCATGATAACGCCCGTCCACCTGTCTCATTTTTGGAGAATGATTGTTAGGAAGTTCTTCCTTGAATTAACCTGAGATCTATGTCCTTGTTACTTCTTATCTTTTCTCTGCCTCCACTCACTCTTCCCCAGGAAACATCCCTAGTTTTTTCAGTCAGTTCTTGCATGGCACGAGCTTGAGACCCTTCACCATACTGGTTACACACCTTCAGACAATCCCTAGCTCATCTGTATCCTTCCTAAAATGTAATGCCAAGAACTGAATACCATGCCCCAGATTTGGTTCAATGAGGGCAGGATATAGCAGGACTATTTCCTCCCCTTTTCTGGGCGCTGTGTAACTTTTAATGGAGCTAAGGTTGTACAGAGGCAGTGTTGTAGAGTAGAAGGCTAGCCTTGGAGGTAAAATGGGAGTTTAAGCCCCACCTCTGACACACACTGGCTGTGTGACCTTGGGCAAGTCACTTACCCAGGAAAACTCTCTAAGATTGAGTTGAAGAACAGTTTTCAACTTGCATTGGTAGAGGAACTTTTCCCACTGGGAGTCCCCTATTCCATTGAAATCACAGATCTTGGTTGCCACATCACATCAAGCCTGCTGTCCATTAAAACCTCTAGATCTCTTTTCTGACTGCTGCCTAGCCAACCCTCCCTCATCTCATACATGTGAAGCTGGATTTTTAAATTCAGGTTCTGTCATGGCTCATCTTATCAGATTCAGTTCAGTTGTTGAGTCCACATTTCTCCTCATGCACAAGTGGTTTTGTCAAATGTTTTGCTTAAAATCTAGGTATAGTATATCTGTTTTTCTCCCTTCATCTAGAAGTCCTGTCAAAAAGAGGAAATCTGGTTAGTGTGGCCCGACTTGCTTGGGAGCTCTTCTAGTTCTTGGGAGTACGGCTTCTTTTCCTAGCTTTTCACTAACTGTTTAATAATAAAGTCTTGGATTTTGCCAGGAATGGAAGTCAAAGCTCATTAGTTTATAGTTGACACACCTAATTCCACACCCTCCTCCTTTTTTAAAACAATCAGAACATTTGTCCTTTCTGGTCTGGGGTTACCTTTTTCACTGACAGTGGCCCAACAGTCACATTGTCAGCTTAGTAGCTTGGGATATAGTTCATTTGGAACAGGTGACTTGAACCCATTAAGGGCAGTTAATGTTACCTTACTTGGACATCTGTTCCCTATTAGCCATTTTTATTCTGTCCTTTCTAGCCCAGGGATTATTCTCTTGGAAGGGGAAATCATTCAGGACAGGAGCAAAATAAAGTGTTGAATATCTCTGTCATCAGTTACCATTGTCCAATTCACCATGAGTAGCAACAGTCCCATTCCTTCTTTGATCCTCCTCTTTTCCCAATACAGGGTCCCCCCTACCCCCAACATTTTATTTTGTTGTCCTTAGTATTCTACAGCTTCCTTTAACTTCTGTGTGTTTGGGCTTTAGCACTCTTGAAGCGTTCTTACAGGTCTGTGCCACACTTCTGTGTCCATTTTCCATTACTTGACTTTGCTTTTAGAGTTTCTACTTTTTTTTTTTTTGGTGAAGCAGTCAGGGTTAAGTGACTTGCCCAGGGTCACACAGCTAGTAAGTGTTAAGTGTTTGAGGCCAGATTAGAACTCAGGTCCTTCTGACTCCAGGGCTTGTGCTCTATTCACTGCACCACCTAGCTGCCCCTACATGTTATTTTTTTTTTAAATTATAAGCTGGTTGGCAAGTGTTTAATGCATTCACATCTATCCTTTTTTCCTCATTGAAACTGTTTCTCTTTTTTTATAGAATTTCATTCTGAAGAGCTTCCAGTTCTTCCTGGACTGCTTTCCTTTGCAGCATTTTAGTCTGTGGCATCCTATCATTTCCTGAAACCTTTAATATCTGCACTCCCAAAATCTAGGGTGAATATTAGATGCTTAGCTTTCCACGGGCAGCTAGATGGTGAAGTGGATAGAGCACTGGACCCGTACCAGGAAGACCTGAGTTCAAATCCAACCTCAGACTCTTACTAGCTGCATGATCCTGAGCAAGTCACCTCTGCCTGTTTCCTCATCTAGAAAATGGGGATAATAATAGCACCTTCCTTGTAGGGTTGCTGTGAGGGTGACATGAGATAATATTTTAAAGATCTTTGTAAACCTCTATGGCACTATACAAATGCTAGCTATTGTTATTACTAATTATTACAAATTCTGAGATAGTGTGGTCATTTCATCCCAAGGTTCCCATTGTTTCCACTCCAGCAGCCAGTTCCTCGTTTCTTCTTCAAGATGTGCTTCAGTTTGTCTGTTTTCTTGCTAAGATATGGTGTTCAAAAATGGACATAGTAGTCCTTATGGAGCATGACCAGGTAGACAACAGGGCTTCTTAGTGAAGTTAAAGATCACATTTGTTCTGTCGGCTGCCTTGCCAAGGTACATTGAGCTTGCATCATCCCTCCCCACCCCACCCCACCAAGTTCTCTTTTTTTTTTCTGTGAACTACTCCATAGTCACATACCTCCTCTTTGAGCCCTTGTGCCCACTGTCCCAACCCTTTTCCTTGTGTTTATCAGCATCTGACTTTAGAGGAATGCTGTACTACTTTATTGCAAGGAGAAGAGATTAGGAAGGAGGAGAAGAGGCACTGAGAAGTGTGGACTGAGCTGAGTTTTTACAGGCCTAACAATTTCCAAGGCTTCCTCCTCAGAGGGTCCAACTTTTTCTTGTTTGGGAAGTATCCCATACCCAACAGCAGTACAGGAAGACTAAACTAGCTCCAAAACCAATTATTCCTGCCTTGGAAATTGCTAGGCCTGTGTTTCCATAGGTATCATCAGGTGAAAGACAGTCCAGTAAGGGTCAGAGGAAGAAGAGGTGCTGATGAGGCCTACACAGTTTTCTTCCTGACAATAATAATACAGAAGTCTTCTGTCTTCCTGGGTCCTGTGTCCTAGGATGTGACCAAGAACCTCCCAAGACTTGTTAGACCTGATTACTACCTACTCCTTGTGAATGACATGGCAAAAATGATATTGCCAGAAGGAATCTAGAAGGCATTGCTAAGGATTATGAAATCTTGGTTAAGAAACTGAAAACTTGAGGGCTTGGAGATATTTTCTTTCATATTGCTGACTAAAGGCAGGGGCTTCAGAAGAGAAAGGCAGATTTGGGCAGTGAAAGGTTGGTTATGACATGTCTGAGGAGGGGACTTAGATTTCTGGACTGTGGCTTAAAATGCAGAAATGACACCCTCTTGGCCAGGGATGGAGTGTACCTAAAAAGAGCTAGTAAAAATGTATTTGTTTGCAGTATTACAAATCTAATCAAAAGTGAACTGCATATGTTTATTCACCAAGCTAGATACCATAAAAAGTAATTCCAGTGAAGGAAAAGTAGCAGTGGAGACTACCTAGGATTGCACGATAAAATACAAAATATTCATGACATCAGATACTTATTTACAAATGCACAGGACACAGATAACGAACAAGGTAAAGAAGTAAATTTGAGGGGCAGCTAGGTGGCGCAGTGGATAGAGCACCAGCCCTGGAGTCAGGAGGACCTGAGTTCAAAGCTGGCCTCAGACACATGCCACTTAACTAGCTGTGTGCCTAACAAAAGCAAAAAAAAAAAAAAAGAAAAGAAGTAAATTTGACCTTCTCTGGGATTTGGCAGGATGGAACTTATGATCAGAATATGGCTCTGGTAAGCTACTCTTTATGTAAAAGAAATAGGATAGGTAAAAGGAGGAACAGAGTAGTGACGTACCTAAAGAATATATGTTCATCTGAGGAAATCCAGATATCAGAATCAGGGGAAGAATTGATAAGCACATTTAGGTGAAGAACAACAGAAAAATAAACAATATTGTTATGGGGTAGTGTACTGTAGACCACTTAGAAAGAGGAAATGGATGAGAAGTTCAGGAAATCAACTCTATGCTTGGCACACAGGCATGATAGAGAAGTGATAGGGTACTTCAGTTAACTGGACATCTGCTGGAGTTCTATGCCAAAAGGAGAGCAAATGATAATTTCTTGATGTTTCCTAATGATAATTCCATTCTTCAAAAGTTGGAGGAAACAAGAGGAACTTCTTTTCTGGACCTGATTCTCACCAACA